AACACCGTAATTGAAGTTGCTACGTAATCCACATTACTCTGAAGCTGCAATAGCCGCCTTCCCTCCTCCTTTAATGATGTCAAAAAACTAAGCTTTCCAAAGTTTTGAGTTACAAATGTTTGAATTTTTTTCCGTTAGGTTAGTATTCGAAAGATTCGAATGACCAAAAAATTCTGACTTTCGGAATTTGATTCACTTCTCGGAAGATATCTAGAATTTGAAGATTCGAATGTCCCATCTCTACTTTTTCTACCCTGTACGACAGGAAATATTACGCCATTGTGTGTTTTACACAGTGCGAAAAATACAGCTTATTTCATTCGCACATGCGTGTATTCAGCATAAGGATTTTGTTACTTTCACGTTTACCTTCCTCAGCTGGAAACAAAATATTTATTTCACACGTGCAGCCGTATTCCTAAATAATCCTGTATACGAGCTTTGTATGGGAGCAAAAAAGGTTTAATGTTTTACTGATACGGGAACACATTTTTTCACTTTAATTGCTAAAAGGTTAAAAGAAGCGAGCTTAAGGACTATCCTGTATCGTTAATACAGCGCAAAAGATTTCAGCCAAGTTCGCTTCGCTTATCAATTAATACTCAGTTTAATAATTGATTTTCAATTTCTGTATGGACGGAATCAGAAATAAGCAACTGAAGACAGAATATTTACTAAAGATTAAGTTTCCATAACGATGGATTTCCTGCTTGAGGAAAAACCATGTAATGCATCTGTATATATAGGTAAGAGGCAGAAGGATGCTGAGAACAGCAATGTAGGAACTGTAAAAACAATCATAACGGAAAAAAAAAAAAAAAAAAAAGCGCTATTGAAAATCACTTTTGAAAATGCCGAATCATTTATATGTGAGTCATAGTGTGAGGCAGACTATGAATTACTCATGTATTTCGATATTCCTCCTCTGTTTTATTTATTTCACACTTGTTTCTTAACTTTCTTACAAGCATTATAAAAACTGATTGTGATACATCAATTGACGTAAAGCTAGGGAAAGAGAGAGAGAGAGAAGGAAGAGGTTTTTCACTAATGGAAAATTATGTACCTATGTCTTGAATAATTAAAGCTTTTTTTTCATTAAATTTATTGTGCTAAGTCTTCATTCGACATGGGTTTTTCACTAACGAATTACCAAACTTCATGCATGGTTTTCTTCGTTTCATATAAAAACATTTTAATATCTCATAGACTTTTAGACCATAATCTTATCTGCTTCAAAGAACTGGAATAATTTCACATTGTTTAGAAAATCATGCGAGTTTTTAATGCGGTTGTTACAAATACCAAAACCTTCAAGGAGAAATCAAATATTTTTTATCTTTTGTGAAAAACTTATCAAGAATTAGGATGTGCTATAAAAGTTTGTAAACTTCATATATTATAAAACAGCTTCAAGTATATAAAAATATTTTCAGAATCTCAATGCCCATAGAAAATATTAGATATTTTGTTATTATTTCCCAAAATATTACTTCATGCAGGCTTGAAAGAATGTTGATCTACTAGATTTATTACATGATTTGATACATCTCATATATTCTTTTCTAAAATACAAGTTAGTATTTCTCTTTTGCAAAATACATATGCATTGCTTATGCAAACTATGTCTCCGATATACACATCGGATCAGTCACATTATTTAACAGTTTGATACTTTACAGATATTACAAGTGTCTTTTTCAATGCTCTTATACGTTCCTATTATCCGTAAATTTCGCCTAATAATAGTGTTACACAGTATGAAATTTAAATAACGTACATAATGCAGGCTATTTTGATTGCGTGCAGAGAATTACACAACAGAAAAAAACGTCAGTCTAATCAGTTTACTTCACTGCCGTAGCCTTGCACATTATTCAGAACTGGCCACAAACCTCGACTGTCGACATTAGAACCAGGTAGACTCAGAATCTAATCATTGCTTAAACCTATGAAGCCCAAGCTTAGGTCCCTGGTTTTTGAGGGCCCCCATATCTACATATATTGCCCCAAAACATTGAATTGATCTTATAAAAGCAAGTAAAGTGGGCATTTCTAAGGCGTACCCAAGCAGGAAAAGTAAATTTGTGCATGTATGAATTTATCTATGGATCTTCAACTCCCGTGCATTGCTGTGACTGGTCTCTTCTTATACCATCTTGGCCAGTAACTACAACATTTAGAAAAAATATTTATATCAGCTTCCGTTAAGCAACAAAGCAACGACTTTCAGCTTATGCCACTTATGGCTATTCAACCATAACGCGAATGTTACCTGATGGAGATTTATACTAGATATATAAATGAATAATCGCTTTTTTGTCAAAAAGTATCTCTCAAGGAAGCACACTGTGATAGCTGTGTATTAACTTTTCAGAAATCTTTCTCATGCCTAATCCTTTTCTTAAAATTAACGTAGCGATTTTTTAAATTAATTTGCAATTTTTTAATTGTCAGTTTTTAACTGGATATCATACCTCACACTGAGTTAATATTAACGTCCATAATTTTTATTTTTGGCTGTTTGCTTCTGGCCGGGGTTTATGTATCACAGTTTGGCACGTCTTTTAATTTCTTATATTAGTCAGAACACTCGATTTTTCATAGCCTGTACAAAATGTGCCATAGCCAAAAGTTCTTACGTTTCAGTAGATCTTTAGGAGTACAAACGTATTAAGAATTCAAAAAATATTTAAATATTAATAATTTTATCTCAGAGTAACATAAAAACAATAAAATAAAATTTAAGCTTATTTAAAAAATCGTTTTTAAAATTTAACGAAACGAAAATATCATTATCGTAATTTTAATTTCAAACGTTTGATATGAAGACAATTTTCCTAAAATAAAAGAACAACATTTCTTTTAAAAATGTAAGTTGGTGGATAGATTTAAAATACGTTAAAGTTCTCAGAAAGAGTAAATAATTGTAAATATTTATTGCAATTAAATTGTTCCATAATTATTAACATTGTTTTATTTTTTGTGTGTCATCTTTACTTGGTGACCACAGATTCTTTAACGATTATGATGCAAATTTTGATTTAAACATAGTTTTTAAAATCTCGGTGGTCAGTTTCTGTCTCAAAGTGTAAATATGCTTCAATAGCTATTTCCTAGCTAATAACTAATGTCTGACTCTATCAGTTTCAAATGTACGCACGTATTAAATTAGTTACATCCCGAAACAAGAATATTCGCGTAATTTTGATGTGTCAAATTACAGGCAGTACCATCTAGCTATTCTGGGAATTAAACTGTCGCACGTTTTTAAATTCTACTAAGGCTTAGTAAACATACTCCTGAAAACAACACTATTTTGCTTCATGAAAAATCAACAATTCTTTCATTTTTTTATCAAGAAGAATGAAAGACCTATCAATAATTTAATTCAAATGTGAAATTAAAAACGCAAAAGGTTAAATAACTTACCCCTATTATGCGCTGAATCCTTATGCCACAAGTGTGAAAAACCTGGTCTTCAAACAATGCGAAATAAAATCCTTCTTTTTTTTTTTGGAGCAAGGTCACTCTCTGCCCCTTCCCCTCCCAAACTTACTCAGACAGATGTTCCGATCTCTGATTTCTTGGACATTTGCTTTAGTAGTAAATTAGGACATTTGCTTTAGTAGTAAATTAACGTAACACGATCAAGCAGTGATTCAAAGAAGCCACCTCTGTTGTAACATCTAATGGAGCAAAATCAGAGCGATACAATGACGCTTTACATGATTCTGTTTTCTCAGAAGAAACATGTGTATTATTCCATCAGCTGATGCAAGATGAAATGACATTTAAGAAAATATTTCTCGGAAGACTGACAATACTTTGGCATGTTTTAGATTGAAAAACAATAAGCTCGGTCTTCTTTTTAATGATACACTTTAAAAAAATAAAAATCGTTTGTGAATAAAATATTCATTCTACGAGTAGTTAAGTTTTTACACAGAAAATTTTGCCAGTTCATAAAGTTAAATGACTTATAACGACTAGTTGAAAAATTAACATTTACTATAACTACGTTACTGTTAACTTATATTTACGCATAATTGCATAGAAAAATGTTTTCTAATTTCCGATACATTATGCATATTCCAGAAGTATTCTTCGTATACCTATTCATGGTATACATGTCTTCTCTTCTTATTATACGCATCTTTTATATTCGTGACATATATATTTTGTAATGGAGTTCTGAACAATTTTTCATCTCCCTTTCATGTCAAAAATAAATAAATAAATAAACATCAATTTGATCCTTAGATTCAGTTTTCAGTTTAAGATCTGAAAACATCTTAAACTAACACACTTATGACAGGCTTATTAGTTTAAGGTACATAACATAAAATCGTATATGTTCCAAATGTTCAAAATAGTGATCCAACGAGGGGGGGGGGAATTGATGTAATATTATTTCATCACAAACCCATGTCGAATGAAGACTTAGCACAATAAATTTAATGAAAAAAAAGCTTTAATTATTCAAGACATAGGTACATAATTTTCCTTTATTATATGGGTGCAAGGTTTGTTACTTGTCTTCCTAAATTCACCAAAAAATAATTCTATTTTGTCAGGACAGGAAGCTCACATAGTGGAAATAATAACGCCTGCTTTTCAAGTACTAATAACGCTAGAAAAGCGAAGGAAATTTGCTAATTACTAATTAGTATTCACGAACAGCAACACTAAAGTTCTAAAATATCTTCTGTACGTAAATTGATACAATGAACGATACGATGAACTTACTTTACATATCGTTTTGTTTTTAAAAGTTCATAATATCAATAAAACAGTACTTAAGATAACAAAATAGCATGATGTACGTGTGGGGTAATGGGTATAATGTCAACAAATGCAACAGACATTTGCGCATTCCTACAAGTAATTTGATACTGAGCGAAAATGATAGAAAAATATACTTATAGTACATGAATGCTAACATGAAAAATTTCGCTGTTTCAACAAAAGGTACTCAAGATAATAAAATCGGAGAATACCTGTGAATCGACGGGACGTTTCTTCAGTAATTTTGTTTTAACTTTACAAGCTGCATACAGTTCATTCTTAAATGAAGAGTTGCAAACTTTGAGGCTCATTAACTATGTGGGGCAATCTTTGATTCTGTGATGAATTTTTATCAGTGCAAATCATACTGATTTAAATTTTAGACATCAATATTCTTCGTTCTTCTCGAGTGTTTATCATAAAAGATTCACAATTGAAAGCGTTCGTTGTTTGGAACATCTGCACTCTAAGTAGTAGTTCTCAATTTACATACATCTAATAGAAAATCATAAAAAAAAAAAAAAAAAAAAAAAAAAGTGTTTGCAGGTTCCCAAAGAAATACCGCATCTGATTGGAGGGCTCACAGCTTGTGAACCAACCATCGAATTCCGCTCCTGTACATCGTTTTGACCCTAGCTGGGGTTAAATATGTAAAGGAATGAAGAAGGCGGTAAAAGGTAGCAAAATATGTGGGGGAGATAATGGCTGCCCCTAACAATCCCCTCCATCATGAATAATCCTAGATATTGGGTGATGCATCATGTTCCAACCATGAATTTCACGCAGTGCAAAGCAGTTTAGTGATTAATATTATACACGCATGTAAGGCAGTGGAGCAATGTACAAGCTGGATTTCCAATTTCCCAAAGAGGAAGATTATAATAGAATTCTAATCTAAAATTGTTTTGATATTCATTCCTGAAACGAAACAAAACAAAACAAAAAATAGAATTCCCCGTTGTTTTTCTTTTTAAAGAGAAAGACATGGAAGTTACTGGAAGGAAAGAAGTGACCTGTTAAATTATAAAGCCATATTTCTAGATGTGGAATTATATTGAACTGATTACCGGTGCTAAATAATGGACAGGTAACCGGATAAACCAAAAATCATCCTACAAAATTTTAATTAATGCACTGGAATTGTAACAAAAATTAGGTGCTTTAGAGATTTACAATTTTTTTTGCACTGTTTAAAATATAGTTTAATTAATACGGTTATTATTTGAAATTAACCAGTTGTTTGTAATTTCAACCTTTACTATAACTTCTCCTTACCGTGTCCTCACCAGAATGTAAATCAGTTAGATAGTATTTAAGCTGAGTTTTTTGGGTTTCAAGACAGAGCGCGTTTTTGCCCCTCGAGGCCACGTTACATAGTTTCTGTTAGCTCTGATAAGTTTGTAATGTATTCGGCTTTGCGTTATTGCTGCCGACATTTAAATTTGATACGCCGGTTATAGTATTTGAACCAGCTTAAATTTAGATTTATTTGACTACTAGTCTACGTTTTTAAATTTCAATATGACTGTTACTTTAGTTACATCGCCACAAGTGGTGACTGATCCTGTTATCGCAAGAACTGCGTTTATGTTCAAAGTTCTGTTTAAATAAAAAGGTTGTTAAAACCTTTTTAACTCACTGTAGTTCAGGCACAGCGATAATTCGCTTTACGTCTGGTAGGAGTTGAGAACTAGTTTATGCTTCCAAAATAAGTCTATAAATTAAAGTTATAAAACTATTTAACTATATAATTTTTCTTTTAAAAGTTTGCTTATTCCTCCTTTTTAGACTCATGCTGACATTATTTCAAATAGTATGACGCATAGTACAACTAAATTTGAATTGAATTTACTCATACGAATGCTGTAATACCTTATTTAACTCCTAGTACTATTTTCTTGTTGTGGATACTTGCTATTTTACCTTCATCACTCTAGGGATGTTCCACTGATTCGTCTTGAATCACAGCATCAAAAAACTCTTCATATGATAAAATCCGATTCCATTCGCAGTTCCTGTGCACTTATGTTTCCTTCATTTTTGTTTTGAAGTCTTTCAGCACTAAAAATAATAATATGGAAAACCTTTGATTGAAGTTATCCCATTTTTACCATTAGAAATCTCATTCACAAGACATTTTCCCCGCAGCCTTAATTAGAATTATGATTTTAATTTTTCAAGTCTTAGCATGAGATTCGCTACGATAAAAACTAACAGTTTCTTTCAAAAAATTACACATTTTCTTGAAAAGTAAAATAATAATTTGAGAGCTTCTTAAACGAAGGATAGAAGGATAACCACGTACAAATAATCAAATGTTCAGAGTGCCTCGGCCAGAAATATTGTGGAAACAACTCTGTTAGAAAACACAGATTGTAAAAAACAGCATTTTTTTTTTTTGCATTAAAGATAAAAAAGTAATACTTTTCTAATTTTCACCGAGAAACCCAGAACTGTAAAAATAAATAAATAAATAAAATACAGTAAATTTTCACTATACAACACTGTTATGTTTTTTTTTTTTTTTTTTTTTTTCCCTTAATTTTCTTCTTCTCCACTTTTTAAACAAAAACTGCTTTTACTTATTCATTTAAGTAAAAAAAAACTGCGATAGTAAAAAATTAATTTGATTATTTTAGTACTAGAAGCATATTACAAACGGAAAAAATTTGCTTATATTTTTTGGCTTTAACTTTTGCATCATTAGTAAAGAAATCGTACAGCTAAATTCAGAAATATAATTTCTAAGGCTATATATTTATTTTGGATTAATTAGAGTTCATTTGTTGGTAATAAAACTACAAGTAACCAAGTAATGACATTCAAGTGAGTTGAAGCATATACATCTTTCAGATGATAAAAGTTTTCTATGGTTTTGGTAGCCGTTTCGAAAATGTAAAATATAGTCCGATATTTATCATAACCAATAGATTTCAACTCTTTTAGACATATTTTGTTGCCGACATATTAATTGATTTTGACTAGACAAATCTTTTCTTATACAAGACAGAAAGTCGAATTATTTTGGTTATTGGCGAAGAGCCTATTCGGCAACATTTCTTTGTTAGCAGATGTTTTTGAAAGCAGGTTAACGAACTTTTTTCTTCAGAATCTAAATTTTGAAAAAAAAATTGCATATATTTTGCTCATTTCATTTTTAATTTCAATAAAAAGTTGTTTTATTTTACTGTTAATGTTTTTTAATAATTTGCGGATCAAAGTCTATCTTATGTTGTTTATTGCATAAAATCATTTTTGCTTCAACATTAGAGAGTTGTTTTGGAAAGTTTTAATGTAGCCAATAATAAGTTAATATTTCTTTTTTTTTTTTAATTCTCGTTTTGCTCCTATCATATGTATTCAGATAATTAGTTTTTTTTTTTTTTTTTTTTAAATTTCTGCTTCCAAAAGTCATTTTTCCATAAAATTTCATTTCGTCTAATTAAAAACTAATTTATTTTTATAAACTGTACAGTACACATGTTCGATATACGGAGAAATATTTAAACACTTTTAGCAATCTCTTGAGCATTTATTATCGTTTCTAAATAGTTGCTTCCATATGAATATCATTAATATTCACTATTTCAAAATCAGCATCATATTAAAAAAAATTCGGTTTTTACAGATATTTTTCAGAAAGCTTCTAGAGAAAGGAGAAACCAAAAACTTTTCAACGGGATGAAATATACTAAATCCAAAATTAAAATAGACCACTTCAGAAATAAAACTTTGCTATTTCTCATTACCTAACCTTAAAGCTTTGTTATGTAGAAAAATTGCAATAAATTATCAACAAAACTTTTATTAGTTTGATTACAGGTATTATATTGTATACTGTGTTCGAACGTCATGTGTGTAGTGAAAGGTTTTGGATTCAGAAAGTGTCACGTGTTATTGCAACCAATTAAAAATTAATGGAACTAAATAATCAGTTAATTAAATTAAGTACAATGTTAAATTGGCTAATTGAATAAAGCAAAGTAAACAAGGGATACTTTCGTTGGTTCTCAGGAGAGGAAATTCGGAAGTCTCATTCCGCTCTTTCGCTTGTCACCAACTAAAGATTCTTCAAATCAACGGTTTTTAAGACTCCGTTCAGATGGTGGTACAAATGTCATAGAGGCATAGTCATAAGGCACAAAATGCGGGAGTTCCGTTTATACCTGCGAGACAGGGAAGACACACAGATAATCAAGTGGAGAAGCTAAAATTGAGCTGTTGAACGTGTCTACTTTTCTAGCTTTCCCGGCTCAATAGGTTTCGTGCGTTCGCTTTGTTTGGTCTATTCTTATACGAAGTCAGCGTAAAGTTGAAAACTTCAAACTTTATGCCAAAACCTCTCAACTAGATTTTGTAACGTAGGAAGGTCTGGTTACACAGCAACATAGCTTGGCTTAAAGTGGGTATGACATTTATACCACCGTCTAAACGGAACCCAAGTGACTGGATTCTGCAAGGGCAAAAAATAAAAAAACGCATTGTCTTATTCGGACTCGAAGCAAACCTGTACTGCATGCCACCAAGCCAAACAATTTTCATACAAAAAAAAAAAAAAAAAAATAAAAAAAAATAAATAAATAAATAAATAAATAAATAAAAATTAAAAAAATCAAACAGAATTTATTAAATGTCACAGAGCTGACTGGCATCTTCTAGTGCTTCTGTGATCCGATTACACAAATAATTATCTAATTTAAAAGAATTTGAGCATACAATAATTACTTAAGGATTTCTATTTTTACATAGCTAATTAAGTATTCAGTATATATTTCACCTTTCTACTAAATCTTCTGCTGTAGAAATAAATAGCCATCTTATGATATTGATTCAGTTACATAGAAACAATACAATATTTTGTAATGAGGCTCAAATAATTTTAACTAGCTTATAAGGCATTTCTCCTATTTTCCTAGCGTGCCTTCGTGGTGTAGTGGTTCTGCACGCTGGGTCGGTATCCAGAGGTCCGTGGTTCGATTCCCGGGGAAGGCGGTTGCTAATTTTTCATCTCTCCGGTCTCCAAAAATACCTAATGTCTCTACAGTGGCGCCCGAATAAAAGGGCGTTGGATGAGGTTTCTCCACAACCAGGATTTGGCAATTGGTCCTCTGAAAACCCTAGTCGCCCTTTAAAAAGGGGAGTATATAAGATATTTCTCCCACTTTTCTAGCATGCCTTTGTGGTGTAGTGGTTCTGCACGCTGGGCTAGTATCCAGAGTCCATTGTTCGTTTCCCGGCGAAGGCGGTTGCTTATTTTTCATCTCTCAGGCCTAAAAAAATACCTAATGTCTCTACAAGCTTTAGAGTTTTTCAGAACAAGAATTCTTTTAATGTCGTAAGAATGCAGTTTTAAAAATTGGATCCTTAATACTTTTCTGTGAAAATTATAACCATCCTACGTACTTGTCATTAAATTAAAATTACAAAAACCTATAACTTTTTAATTTTTGATATTGAATAATTATTATTTTAGGCTTAGAAAACTGCATTGAGTGTTTAAATACCATGAAACCTCTCTAAGACAAGCAGCTATTGTTTCAACCAATTTTAGTCTTTTGCGGAAAGATATTGTTAATGCCTGTGCTTATTTACGTCCTCAGAAATAATAGCTACTTTCAAAGTTGCTCTTCATGAGAAAATTCATTGTTTATCTATATATATATTTATAAATATATGAAAAATCCTGCAGCAGTTATGTATAACAGAAACTTATGTTGTTAGTCTATGAAAAACCACAGATGAAAATACACTCAATGGTAATCATGTTAAAAGTGTTGGCAAATTATTTGCTAAAGGAGATGACAAGTTTTCTAGAAGACTGCGGTTCCAATACATACACCTTCCTGAAAATTCTCACTGTAATAGTAATTCTACAGGATGCTATAAAACTGATGGAACAAACTCTAAAGGGTGAAAGAACACATTGAAGTAAACACTTTCATGTGGTCTTGTATTTTATGAAGAAATATTGACTATATGATGAATTTCACGGGGCATGCATTGTCATTACAAAACATATGAGTTGTGAAAGATGGTAAATACATGTCATCTTTCACAATGCAATGCAATTTATATATAATAATGTTTGCCGTCACTTCATTCCTAATGATGCTTCATACACTGTGCCTAACAGCGGCCGAGTAGTAAACTTGCTGAATACTGGTAGGTTGGCTGCATAGCTGTTTTTATGGTTTACCTCATGTAACGGTGTATACGAGCCAGTTTTCCTTAGAAAGTCGTCCCCGATCGCAGATGGCTTTCGAGGCTTTGCCATAATCACACAAACCAAACTAACCGATCCATACGCTACTAACATGATGAATAAGTTATGAATATCACATAAGCACAATGTGTCTAGCTCAATGAAAATAAGGTCAGTGAAGATACACTACATGATTAAGTGTAAAACTGACGTTTTCCCTGGTGGGATAGGGAAAAAGGATATAAAGAAGCAAGACAATTTATCTTGGACAAAAGTTTAAGAAAACTCCAAGGTCATTATAAATTAAAAATACCAAAGTCATCAGTTGAGAAAGAAAACCATGCCACAACTGGGATACATATACAAAATATATGAATACTGAAAGAATAACAATGGTGAATGTGAAAAACCATCTCTTTCATATGAATAACTGAAAGTGTCTCATATCTTGCACTGCAAAAGATGGCATATATGGGAAAATAGAAAGCACTTACTGCACATGTGACCATGCATTTTATGATGAAGTATTCATTTTAATATGTTTATCCCCTTTTTAAGTTTTCTCTATTAGTTTTGAAACATTGTATTTAAAGCCAGCTTTAAATTTCATGTGAAGACTAGGTCTTTCTCATGCTGATCAAATTACATATTCTAAAGTTGCTGTAAAAGAGAATTACATATAATAAAATCTAAAATGCTTGAAAATTTTTAATATTGAGATTTAAATGATTATTAACTACTAATTGACAATTATGCACGGACTTTATGAGAACATTTTAATCATATCTGTCATGTAGGAGGGGAAGGTAGCTTAATTTAGACCGCTATGATATACAAGTACTGATGATATCTGAGAGATTTGAGATAGGCATTTTGTTATATGTAGATGTAGAAGAGGTTAATGCAATTGTGTTTATAAAGAAACGCCTCGTGGTTACATTGAGAGAAGTGTTGTTCGTTTGGCTAAGAAGAAAATCTGTTATTTCGACATACGTGTGAAAGCAGTTAATTCGTCTAAATGTAAGTTATTACATGTCTTATTAAACCATCAGAAAACTTGCTTATTTATCTACAATTTGCAATTATAATTTTGTGAGGTTATGTTAGTTTGACATTTCTGTACAATATCAATCATTAAATATTCGTTTCCCAAGTCGGACCGAAAACAGTTGCCGAAATTGAACCAATCCAACTTCGGCAACAACATTTTTTTCATGGATAAATTATAATTAACTCTAGAATGCTACCTTCGAAAAACTTATGGGAATGGCAACCATTCGTCTCCGAGACGAAGTATGCGTAAGCGTGCTTTAAACTTATTTTAAAAGCTAATTGCAGAATATTTCCACAAGAAGGAAAGTTCTTATCTGTAGTAGAAAAGTAGATCTGTACATAAAAAAGAGACTGGTGATTCATGGTTTTGTATATTATGTGAATAAACCAAGGAAGAAGAAATGATACAACATGAAATGTCACGCTTGGATACATACTCGGTGTGCTGGAGTTAGTACTGCAATTAAAGGTTCTTTTGTAATTTTGTTGTAATTTCCGTTAAGAAAGCTCATGGTCCAATTTAGGAAACTAGTGGTCCAAATAAGGAAACCGGTTTCCTAAATTGAACTGATGACACGATTTTTTTAAATTCATTTTTGACCGTTATAAATAATTTTTAAAATTTAATAAATGGTTCTATTTTGAAGGTACACTTAGTGAGTTTATTTTCTACTACTTAATTTTTATTGGCACTTCTTCCATCCTTCTATATAGTGAAAAATACAAAATTGGTCCAAATTAGGCTACTCTCCCCTATATATATTTGTTATTGCTGATTTATGTTGTTGTTTCACAATATTGTTATTAAAAATTTAAAAGCAAGTAAATACTACTGAATTTCGAAAAAAAAAGAGGAACATTTTTATTTAGTAACAATACAGCCTTACATGACTAGTGACATCATCTCTTATCTGCAATATACAGAAACTGCATAACATTAAGAAATATAAAATAAATTAACATGTAGAATTTATTTACATATTCAGTAGTTGAGTCATATTTAATACAAGAGGACTTGCTTTACATTGAAATAAATTATAAATTCAGACATTTGTATTTTACAAATGTAATACACCATTTTACAAAAATATTCATAACAACTAAATACACAGAACACGACAAAATTTTAGGAGCTTAAGGTTTAATTATGCAAAATAGAAAACATATCTTAAATCAAAATTTTCACACATGAAGCTAATGAAACATACTTCAAAATCACATATACAATATTTCAAACTTCTTTTTAATTTTTTTTTTTTTTTCTATTTTCCATGCCTACATACTTTTGTCCTCCACATTAATTAAATTTTTATTAACAGATCCTGGCATCATTAAATATAAATCATAAAATTAGAGAACTCGCACACTACACCATAGTTTGTACCTAAAAACTTGGATGAGATTTTTTCTCGCATAAGTTACATTTTAGTTCAAAATTTCACTGACAGTTTGTACTGTTAACATCAGATAAGAAAGAACACAATGTGAAAATTAAAATTATACAGTATTTGTTTATTTGCAATTTTGAGCATATTGCTAATATTATGAGCATATATTTGAGCATATGCTAGTATTACTAATAATACAGCAGTTCACAATGAACTATCTCTGACATGCAAATATTTTTATAGAGAATTTAAACGAGCACAGCTTTGCAATATTAAATCACCTAGCAATGAAAATCTGAACTTAAATATATATTATGCACTAAAAATATCTCACTTTTGTAATAAGTCTTAGAGTGCAGAATGCTAAACTGAGAAAAGCATTTAAGACTATATAATTAACCCCTTAATTTACGATTTAGATTCAAAGATGTTAGGCCGAAATTGTATACAAGCTCGCGCAGCATTCGGAACATTTGCACGACTTGTGTAACACGCTAATCTGGGCAATCGTAAACATGACGAATTATGTAATTTTTGAAGAAAGTATAGGCAAATAATTATTGATCATACATCTGATGACGATCAACTACCAGAGTCCTGGCTTTGGAAAGAATTAAGAAATATTCCAAAAACCTGGGACTATACAATGACTCCTGGCATAAGAGAGGAAGCCTTATGTCAATTAGGAGAAAGTAGAGGAGAATTTTATATATTTAATCTAATATTTGATGACATATTTTGGAACAATATCGTAACCGAAACGAATCAGTATGCAGATCAAGTATGAGAAAATCCACATAGAACACGAGTGTAAAAAGTGTAAAGTTCCGTTACATGTACCAGAATGCATTGAAATATATCATACTGTTACAGATTACTAATTTTGAATTTTGGAGTTTTGGAGTATGCAAGTATTACAAAATGTATAAATAAACATTTTTTAATACTTGCGTCTACCACAATTATTGCATTAGACTGTAATTGCATATCAAATATTCCACGTAATATTCAATTCTGACCTGATCACCGTACACGGGCTATGCCTGTTAAAGTTAAGATTTGGGTCGACCATTGTATGCGGGCTATGCCCGTGAAAGTTAGGTTTGGCCCGACCATCGTACGCGGGCTATGCCAGTCACTGTAGATAAAGGGGTTAAATAAAAAATGTGACTTAAATTTTTTTAAAACACATTTACTTATTCAGAAAATTTATCTTATTTACATAAAATGTTGGAAAAATAATACTGTTTACAAGCAGCCTATAAAAACAAGATTTGGGGAAGGAAATTACATAATAATTTTTACTCTCTGCATATTTAATTTCTTACCATACACAAACAAATACCTCAAAGTCTACTAAATAATATAACATTCATTCATAACAAATGCAAAGGATCTCAATAATATGAGCTTTTTAAAATAGAAATAATTGGAAACTGTTACTTCTTGATATTATTATTGCATAAAATTTATATATAATGAATGACATAAAAGTAAAAATGAAAATTTTATAAAATCGGTTACACAGAATTAATGCAGTTTAATGATAATGATCTAATGAATAAAAATGGAAGATATCAAAATTTGGCAAATGTTTCAATAGATTCGAATTCATATCACTGTATCAGTGACAAAAACATTTGTATTACCTATTTACTATAGTTTCAATTAATTACCATTTTAAAATTTCAGTCCAATATAAAAAATATCACAATTAAAAATCTTAAAATGCAAGAAAATGTATCAGTAACATAACACTCGATCAAAATACGCATAAAATGTTTTATTAAAAAGATGAATGTTAAAAAATATCTCATTTAATTTTATAGTTAGCTGCAAGAACTTACTGTTTACAATTTGAAAAAGTATGTTTTAGATGCTTTCATATAAACACACAAACAAATTAAGCGCACAGACATATATAAAACAGTCTAAACAATTCAAAAATGAGCATCTTATAATGAAATACTATATACAATAATATATGTACTGCATATAAATTTTAAGACAGATTCTTGAGATATTGCACCACACTATATAAGTCATGGTTCTATAACTTAAGTGAATTACATAACTAATGTCTTTCACACCCCAGGTGCATAACCTTGAAAAGCTATACAGCATTTTATAATTACTTACACATTTATTTTATTTAAATTAAATTTACAAAAAGAATACTTATGATTCAGATAAGTTATAATAATGCAGGATTTCATGCATGGTACAAAATGCATTGTGCAAATTATTCTAAGACCATGCTAGTTGACCACTTGTGTAGTTCATGTGCTCATACAGGAAATACAGTTTATCATAAATTAGTAACAATCATCCATTACTTCTTTAAAATTGAAGAAAACTGCTGCTTAAGTGTGAAGAGAACATTGAATATACCTAAAAAGGCTATGGTCTAAGAAAAATGACCTAACAAGTACAGACTCATTTATAAAATACTAATTTTGTAGCTAATTGTGGTGTATTAGAACATACAAAAAATGAATGTAAATGAAACTTAGTAGAAATTCACAGAAAAATACATTTTTTTCCATGGTAAATATATAACATTTGATCTAATTTAAAACATCATCAGTCTCCCTCTTTTTTTTTTTTTTTTTTAACAAATCCTTTACTTAAATGATTAATTAGAACTGCTAAGTCATTTAAATAATGGATTAGCTAAAAGAAATGCAGCAATACATTAGGTGTTAACAGAAAATGAAAAAACACAGTTCCAAAAAGAATGAAAAAGAGTTAATTGCATTTGCATTGAAAAAAAAAAAAAATTGATCAATCATTTGAAAGTATTAAAAACATTTCTTCCTTTTGAAATCAAAGCATTTTTATTGGGATGAACAGTTGACACCTTCAAAAATTGTTCTAATGTACTATCTAGGTACAATGAAAAATCATAATTATGTAGAAAATTAATTTGAAGCATAAATAAAATTTCTGGCTATACATAAAAGCAATAAAAATTAAGAATAACCTGTTTCAAATCACACTATATATAAGATTTAGTTTTCAAGCTTTATTATCATAAAGCCTAAGATAAACTGACATGAGGGCTAACGAATGATTGTTGTCATTGCATATTAATGTAATTTGGCATTTAAAAACAGTATTTTTTCTGTGACCTAACTTTTTTTTAAGAGAAACACAATGGAAGGGGGACTTTTTTTTTACACAGCATTTTACTCTTAGTATATATTATCTCAACTTCAACAAATGAATGAGTTTTATATTTTTAAAATACATGTGAAAACTTAAGTTTTTAATTATACATTTTTTAGCATACATTCATTTCAACTGCATGCATAAAACTTCACTTCCTTTTTCTCAAAACAAAGATCTGCGATTGCTGCCCTGATTAGTATAGTGGTTAGCATTGCTGACTGCCTATCATTAAGGCCAGGCTGAAATTCCAGAGAAAGCTGGGATGTTTGTAAGCGTATAGTGTCTTTGCCAGCAATTAAAATACATGTTTAGTCGAAAGTCTTCTTCAGAGGTTTGATGCTAGAAGAAGAGGGATTGAGAGACCCTTGGTTCTTATCCAGGGCGGGGGAATCACCCTCAAAATCGGAATAGAGTTTGGCAAAAAGTCTATGCCAATCTTGCACTCCATGACACAGTAAAATTTGTGGGCTTTTTCGTCTCTGTTTTTCAGAAAGAATTTATTTTTTTACTAGTTTTAGTTCAGTTTTCAGAGATAAGTCACAACATATTATCTGCCTCTGTTCTTCAGAAAAAATTTATTTTTGGACTAGTTTTAGTTCAGTTTCAATGTACTTAATAAAAATGCTTATTATTATCAACTAAGATGGAAACTAATAAATATAATAGCCTATAACATTAAGAAAAATTACCTGGAGTTTTTTTTATTATGTCTCTTTTCTCACATATTTATATATGCTAGAAAAAATTTTGAGCATTTTGAACAGAAATTTGACGTTGTTCCATATGTAACACAAATAAGCCAACATTTCTCATTTTCAGGAACATATACACACACAAAAAAAAAAAAAAAAAAAAAAAAAAAAAAGTATACTTATTTGAGTACTTCTGCATTTAACTCTGTGTCATTAAATGCAATGGTCATAAAAAAGAAGAACACCTTGCATATAGTCTGCAGGATAACAGTGGATATTTTTTAAATGCAAGATACTACAGAAGCTTTCAGTCTATGATTTTGATAAATAAATGAATCACAAATGAAAACATATAATAATGAATAATTCCATTTTATATTAAAATTATACTCTTGATGACTTAAATGATAAAAATTTACACTTGAATATAATAATGTGCCAAAAATTGATTACAATTTAAAGTTTATAAATGACTATCTACTGTCACTTGTCCTATCTTCAGAACCACATCTGTGAATGTAGGACGGTCTCTGGCACAAGAACTCCAACAAGTAAGGAGTAAAGAACATAAAGATGAAGGTGCCCCAGATGGGGGTTTCCACCTGAGTTCACCACTGTTCAATAATTTTAACACTATTTCATCTGAATGTTCAGAAAATGGCAGATCTGCCTGTGTGAATAGCTCCCACACAAGAACTGCAAAGGACCAAACATCACTTTTTGTTGACCATTCATCTTCAAGAATTGCTTCAGCTGGTGCCCATCGTATAGGCAATGTTCGATTTCTGTACATGAAATATTCTTCAGCATAAGTATCCCGAGAAAGACTGGGGAAGCTGATTTTTATATTTAATCGTGAAGTGACTAAACAATTTCTGGTGGCTAAATCTTTGTGTGTAAATCGCTGGTTAGAAAGGTATTCCATCCCAGTTGCTACTTGATGACATATGCCTAATATCTGAGGTACATTAAGAGGTGGTGGTCTAGGGCCCTTCCTAGAATTGTCTCGTCGCGTAGCCAGAAGAAACTGCTTTAAGTCTCCCTATAATAGTAAAGAACAATGTTAGTTAATTGTAATTTTTTTTAATTTAAAAAATATTTTAATTATTATCAAAATTTGATGATTCTATAAAGATGATTTACATAAGAAATTTTAAAAGTAAGTATTCAAAGAAGAGAGATTTAACTTTTACTCACGTTTTGCTATTTTAAATAGAAGTATGAAGCCTTCAATTAAATATCTACTAATTGCTTAGGATGCTTTTCTACTTGTAGAAAGACAAAAACTACAATAGCATATATATAATTCCAATTTAAAGCAATTACAGTGTATGACTGATAAGCATATTTTATCAGTCAGAACAAATTTAAATACCATATGGATGTTTCATATTTCTATTCAAAAAACTGTGTAGGCAGAAAGAGAGAGAGAAAATTTATAATCACTAATTTAATAAACATTATTAAAAAACTATACAATCTTTATTACAACCTTTTATGTTTAAATAAATAATTATATGATATTTCAAGTATTCCATTAAAAATTAAATTTTATCAAATAACAATTTAGTAGATCATAAGTTTCATCTAAATTATAAGTATAATTTAATATCAAATTAAAGAATAGTAAGAACAGTTATAATAAAACATACCCAGTCACTATACTCTGTAATAAAAAGAAAAGGTTCTGTTTCTCTACATATTCCTAAAAGTTTTGTGATATTTTCATGCCGTAGTTTGTTCAGCATATCCATTTCCCGTTTATATTCAAAGTGAGCATTCTCATCTCTTGTTTGAAGGGCTTTTACCATTACAACCATTTCTGTCTCAGCATCAATTATGCCTTTAGCTTTGGCCAAAAAAACTTCACCGTATTCACCATGCCCTTTAAAAGACAGAAGTTAGTTCAGTCATTCATTCTACAAATAAATATTATTTTAGTATTTATAATTATGCAATTAAAATGGGAATAGACTATGAAATAATTTGCGATTAACAGTAAGCAGGAAACATTTTTAATAGAGTAGATTTAATTAGTAATTACAAAACTGCAATTTCTTCTACTAACAGTAACTGAAAAAAAGTGAATTAAGAATTTTAAGTGGGTATATATAACATAAAACAACATGAATTTTTATAACAATGAAAGACATGTACATCTATTTGAAATTTAAAAATTAAGAAAATCCATATTTACAGCAGCCCTGATTTTATTGAAAACGTTACACACTGCAAGGAACCTTGGTCAATCTTCTTTGAAACATATACCCCCTCCCGCCCCAAAATCTTTTTTAGTCTAACCTTGACTTTTCCCAACTTTAAATGACATCATTATTTTCTACATATTATGATATTCGGTCACAATATCAAGAACATTTTACATAACAGTCTGATTAAATAGCTTGGTACCCATCAAAACCTTCATCTTCAAATTAACTCATGGTAAATGGTAGCTTTTATTGAATTCGAAAAGTAATAATTATTCACATTTAACAAATCATTTTTAAAGTTTATGAGATGTATGCATGAACTCTCTCTCTCTCTCCCTGCCCCCCCCCATTTAAAGTTCAGACAGTTCTTTGGGTTATAGACAGTTTAATTACTTTCCATACTGATAACAGAGTCCTTATAATGATTAAGAAAAGAGCATGGAGGGGGGCTAGAAAATGCCAAAAAAAAAAAGTGAAATGAATAATTTACTCATTTTTATTTCATTTCTTCATACTAAGCATCATTTTAGGAAGAAGATACATACTGCAGTTTTATTTATTTAAGCACACAACTCTTGATCCTTTTGTTTCCCATTTTATAATTACCTGTCTTTAAGTGCAAGTGATTAAAGACAAACAAATGCAATCCCCCTGTCAGGTGTGTAATTTTTACAATTTGTATTAATTTGTTAAATGGATTAACTAATGAAAATACATAACTGAAAGAATTATAAAATCTAGATTCTTTTTTTCAAGATATCTACCATTTGTGTTAACAAATTATACACATGAAGAAACCAGATCAAGAAAGGATTAACAGAAATGGTAATACATCTATCTGTACATGAACAGGGAAAAATTTGAATCATTTAGTTATAGCATCCCAAAACTATATCCTTCAGTATAAAATTTTGAAATGTTTTCACAGACTTATAAAATGGAGTACGTATGAGTATAAGATCTTATAATGTGGCAACAAAATATTTCTTGAACAAAGAGAATAATAAAATCATGTATTACAGGAAAACATGCTAGTGAACATTCTTATTAGTTTAACAAACATTTTCCATCAGTATCAAATTAAAGAGGGAGACCCCTCATCTCCATCTTACTCTCTGATGAGTGAACTTGTGGTTCAACAGTTAAAGTGCCAGTTTATAAAGCATCTATTTCTGATTTCAACCCTAAGCAGTGACTTCAGTATTTCAAACCACAGACGACATTCTCAACAGATGGCACCACTACAGTCTGTTTCTTTAGGCACTTCAAGGTCTTTTATTGTAATAACAGGTGTCATCCTCCCACACAATATTATATTAACTTTTTCCACCTCATTTTAGGTTCAATCAAGACTTCAACTGTATGCTCTTTATAAAGCAAAACATGCTAAATGGAAATTAACAGAGGGGAAGAGGGAAATTTTGCTGTAGTTAAAAAGTTTTATTATAGAAAATTATTTAAAAGTTGTTCAACTGGTTACTATAGCTATAACAATTCCCTTGACAGATCTCAAAATATCAATATAATACAGTCAAAAGTCGTTAATTCGGACACCCATAATTCGGAATGATCTATAATCCGGACCTCAAAACTAAAAACTTTCTGCACATGCGCCGCGTTGACACATGCGCGTAAGACCTTTTACGACTGCGCATATGAGTGTGCGCAAGTGCAGAATACGTTTTCGCGTGCGCGTTTTATGTATAATGGACGTATAAGCTAAAATTATCTAATTACCTATTTCAGTTAATGTTAATTATTGCGATGTTCCTTAATTTTCGAATTGGATCCGGCTTATTATTTTTTGCAGATTGTAAGAGCAATTTTATAAAAGTAAGCTTAAACTTTCGATTATATCAAATAGAATTTCCGATATATATTTGTTAATATGTAAAGGATCTAAAGCGAAAGTATGTTTTGAAATCCGAAATCTGTTTATCAATTTCACGCTGCTCGGCGGGGGGAACGCCGCGGCGAGCGCATAATGAATTGGAAGTTGATCTGTCAGCACTATCCGTATCTTCAGCACAGATGTTTTTATTTTATTTGCTTATAATTCCTTACCAAATGTAATATTTCATCTTGACATGCTCCGTCTTTGATATGATTTAAAACAAGTTCCTCGTCATTATAATTCGCTTCCGATAGCGAAGAAAAGTGACAGAGGTTATTATTTTGATACCCTTTAGATCATAATTGTTCTTTATTTCATAAATTACGGTTTCATATTTTTAATTTTAGAATTTCTGCATGCCATCTAACGAGATTTAAACTGATGATCTATAATCTGGAAAAATCGATAATCCGGAATCGTCGAAGTCCCGATGAGTCCGGATTAACGACTTTTGACTGTACTTATTTTCCGAAAGTTTTTACTGAATCTGAACGTATCAACGTGTATTACCCCAAAATTTATCATTTTGTTTAAGCAAAAAACTGAGTTATCATCAGATGGAGAGACAAAATTTGTTTTCAAAGAGTTTAAACTGAGCAATTTTTTTTTTTTTTTTTTTTTTTTTTTTTGGCTTTAAGTTCAAAATGAATATCCAGAACTTTTTGATGCAGCACTAAAGGTACCAGTTGCCTAATTTAATACATGTGAGTTAGGATTTTCCTAATTTCTCTCAGTACTGAAACAGATTTGCAGTAAACTTACTTTTAAGACTTAAACTGAGCAAAATGCAGCCAAAAATACCACTGCATGCAAACAAGAAACCTGCTCATAGGTCTAATTAAATGTTTTCTTTTAGTATTTTTTTTAAAGTTCCTAAGCTAAAAAAAAAAAAAATTTAACATCTTCCTGATTTTAATATTACCTATCACGTACACAGAGCTCGTATAGAGCTAGTTTTTGAGCAAGTAGAATTAGCTTATTAATTATTTTAACTTTTGGCCCAACATGTTACTTTGATGTCATAAGTTGGGTCGCACTGCCAAAATGTTTGTTTACCACTGTCAAAGGGTATAAAATGGTGAAACTAGATTGCAGCAGTCAAAACTTTCTTTAGGACAGATTCTGTTAGAGATGCTCAAAGAATATTGCTAGGAACAATGAAGATTGGCAGAATACTAGGTAAGAGAGTTGGAAGTTAAAATTTGGTTCCAACAGGATAGTGCAGCAGCAGGCAAAAAGTAGGAGTGTACTGCAACACTATTCCAAAGAATTCGTTGAGAAGTGTTATCTGTGGAGAATTTGTTGAGGAGTTATCTTTCTGCATCATCCAAAACAAAGCATCCAAGCAGAAAGAAGAAATTTAGAGGACATTATTTTAAAGGTTTACTAGTGCCTGTATTATACATATTATATATTGCAGTAGAGGTATACTGTTATTTCCTGAAGTTAACAACAAGAATTCAGTGTTTTTCTGTTGTTACGGTTGTTGTACAATATGCAATCTCCAAGATTTCACATAAATAACCCAAATCATACATTTTACAAATAAAATTTTCTGAGTTTGCATCAATATAAAAAGTAAGTTTACAAATCTTACCTAACAGCATCATAGTCTGTAATTCTTGTCTTGGAAAATGAGCTTTATCATAAGAAGCTCGGCTTCGTTTCGAATAATGAGAATGTGAGCCTGAGCTATGAGACTGAGCCTCCCCATCACTTTTTGTTGTACTTCCATCTTTTAAAGGTTTAGTTGATAATGCATTCATTTCAGTATCATTTGGCAAGGTTCCATTCTCACTTTTAGCTACTGGAAAAAATATAAAAACTTTTAAAAATTGATACTGTTATTCTAAAACATGGAATACAGATAAGATATTTAAAAAAGGGATTAATTAATCTGATATTCTTTGAACAGAAAAAGATTCAGATGTATTTTATGTACAATTTAACTTCAAGATATCCTAGCTGAAACTTCCCATTATTAGTCAGGTCCTGAACACTCAGATCCTTGAAATAGAAGACCATTGCACTCGTGTCTCATAGATACTCCTTAATAATAAGCAAAAGACTCAGTCCACTAGCAGAAGGTTTAGTTACATATATATTTTCTCAAAACAATTATAGTAAACTTTAAAAACAAAATTTGTTGACATCCTTAAATCTTTAAATAATAATAATTTGATATGTAACTTAAAATTTTGTTAGCGATGAAAAACATATCTGATGAAACTCTTAATCCACATAAGACAGAGTGAATAGGAATTAGTGTATCTGCATAAAGATATATTGATTACTATTTTGTTTAATTAGTTATTGAAGCATGTTTATTCATGTTCAATTAAAATTAATATATGAAGAGTTGTAAGCAAAAAAACATTAAAAATAAAAAATTCAGAGGTAGAAAAGAACAGAATACATCATCTATTTGTATCTGATATTTTTCTGAACAGTCTTTTCAGAGGTATCTGCCTAATTTTTGTTAATTTTAGATGTGGTTTTATTGGCATTTTCTTCTCATATTTTTTTATCATACACATTATGTCATGTCATTACTACTTCCTGGTGTATATATTTCAGCCTTTTTTAGAAGCTACTTTTCTGCCTCTCTCTGCTTGAAAAAATAATACAAATGCTAAATAAAAAATATGTCACCTTCCTAACATGACGGTAAGGAAATTGGCTGTCATAGCTTGGTTAAAGTTTTGAATCTTGGATAAAACATGGATGTTTATACATGCATAATGTCTTTGTGGAATTAAAAAGGGATTAATTAATCTGGGCCAAAAGTCCCAGAAAATACTGCCCAGCCAAAAGTACTCTTGAGAGGTTGGTTATAAGGGAAAACGGGTAAAGACCTTTGATCCATTCCCTGATTCTTCTTCAAAACAGATGGAGCTGTGAAAAAATTTAAAAGTCACCTGTAAGGTGTCTCAGATCCTGGCCAATGGCAGGTGCATACAAGGTTTTGGACATGATGAATTTATAGACCTAGTTGAGATCCTCTCAGAGAAGGATGAAGAAACAACAACAAAAGCTACTATTCAGATCCCCCCCCCCATTTTTAAATAACATTTTCTCTATTTTAAGTAAATCCATTTTTGTGATTGTTTATACTATAGCTTAAAATCCAACTGCCAAACTAAATTTTACACTTGATAAAGGTACTAAGAGATAATGCAATGTAGGCTATTCTCTATCAATGAAAAAAGTGAACAACCAAGGCCTCAGGATCCAAATGCAAAAAGTGTATGTTTTCAGAGAATTTCAGGTTGTGCTACTGTTTAAGAGTTATTCCATCATATACCAGCATAACTGCCAAAATGCACTATTATCAACTACGATCCCTCGCTTTAATCAACAACAGAATAGTTAGGTAAAATGTTCCTATTCTGTGAGTGAATCTCAGTGACCATTAAAATTAACCCACAGAAAGTGAGACTGGCAACATTCTTTGCTTTCAAGCCAGCTTACTTCCACACAGACAGATCTGAAATCTACATTAAAACTAGAAGAAGGCCATTAATGCAGATAATGTCTTTATTTTGCAAAGATTAACATGTGCATTCATGGTCAAACCTTCTACAGCAACAGTTATTAATGAATATAATTTATATTTCATACTACACTATTAATCTTCAAATATAAATATGGCTATACTATTAAATATTCCACTGCATTTATGTTACACAAAAAAATTAACAAATTGTAAACTTAAGTTCAAAAGCGCTTTTTTAAGAAACTAACCTTCAGCAGTAGCTTCAGCTAACAACCTAGCCTTTTTCTTTGCTCTTCTCATCCGACAAAACACCATCAGTCCGATGACTAGTCCCATATACATAGCAGCTGCACTTAGAGTTACTGTAACTGTTTTAGTCATAGTATTTTCACTATCATTATTGAAACCTCTTCCAGCATTATTAGGACTATAATATTCAGCACCTGAAAAGAAGCATTAAAAATTAATGTAGTCATAATATCAAAACACACATTAAAATAAAAATATTACCAAGAAGCAGGGTTTCATAATTTTAAAATCTGTAGTATTTGTCACAGAATGAGCTGAGGCAAGTAAGAAATTGTAATTTTTGATAAGTTTCATGGTGACTGCAATATTTCAAGATAAAATTATATCTATCTAGAAAAGACTTTTTCAATCTTGTTTGCTTACAAGAATTCATTTAAAAAATTTAAATTCTGCATTACATACTTACATTTTAGGACTTTTTTTTTATGAAATGTTGCACTTAGAATATTAATCTGCAATACATTTCAAAGTATTTATTTGCCAGCATTTGCATAAATTGTTACAACCAAACATGAAAATTCTAGTTAAAACACATAATATGCAAGATTATTATTACCGAATTACATTTAAGTACTTAGTATACCACTACAACAGTTAAATAGTAATTAAAGTTATTAATAACAGAAGTCAAAGAAATATTTTTCTTGAATTCAACCCAAAATTTTAATTAACAATATGCTAATAAAATGTTGCGAGAAATACTTATTTATGAGGTATGAACATGCTAGGCAAGTATATGTATATATCAAATGTTATACTCAACTAAAAAAAGGGGGGCTGCACTATAAAAAACTGCCTTACTTTTTGATCCCCTAACACTACTATAATAAAATAAAAAATTAAAGACACCACAGTTTTTGAACAATTCAAGTACTGCTGACCAGTGGGTTTCATTTAATGAGTGTATTGCTTAGATAATTAGTGTATGAATTTATTCTCTATCGCTTGAACATCAGTCTATGAACTGATCTGAAATTCTGCATGCATGTAAAGGAATGGGCAGTTTTAAAACACAACCATTAAAGCCATATTCAAAAGCAAAATCTGGAAAAGGGGCAATTAAAACTTCTTCAAACATAATTTATTTTTTAGTAATAATCGGAAATAGCATATCTGTTTTGCATTTATCAAGATGTGAGGCTCAGATAAAATGCAAGTTGGAGTATAGAGAAATCAAAAAATATAATCAGATGAAAAAGACAAAATGGCTTCAGTAATTTTACATTTAAAAAAGAATTTGAGAGTTATTTGGCATCAAATACACAAAATAATTCCTTAATGATAAATTTCTTTCTTTCTTCTTCTTCTTCTTTTTTTTTTTTTTTTTTTTTTAAATTGTCTCCAACTTGCATCTGTCCTAACTACTGAAAAGCAGTACAACTGTTGTATTGTCATATGCCTTACAGAATAATGACTTTCATTTGGCACCCCATAATTAAATGTTAACTTATGAAAACCAATATAATTTGATTATCACCATACTGCTCCCAATGTCTGACAGAAACATAAGAGGCCTATAAAGTATCTAGCAGTTTCATACATCAAAGAGTATATTAAAGTTAAAAATTTTATTTAAGTTCAATAATGTACGAAGCCACATTTGTTTGGCAGTCAAGAAAAAGTAGCCACTTCCCCCCAAAAAGTAACAATAACATCAATATTTCATTACTAATGTAATTAAGAAAAAGCTATACCACATAAAAATATCTTTTCTTACTTTTAACATTCAAATTGACTTCAGCTCTTTTAAAACCTCCACTGTTTCCAACTGTACAGCCATATTTTCCTTCATCCTCCATATGCACTTCAGACACGTATAACGTCCCATTTTCCATCACATGAAATCTCTTCTGATCAAAATTATCCATGACATTATTTTTGTCCCACTGAACAGCAGGCATAGGATCACCTGAAGCTTGGCAGTGCAGCATAGTAGAATAGCCTTCATAAGCTTGAGTATCCTCAGGCTCTATCACAAATTTTGGCATAACTGCAGAAAAAGAAAAATTAAGTTAGGCATAACTGCAGAAAAAGAAAAAGAAATTTAGGCATAACTGCAGAAAGAGAAAAATATTCTGTAAGTATCAAGATGTTAAAATAAAATCTTAAAGCATGCCCTGAGTATGTTCTCTGGTCTCTTCAACAGGAGAAAATATGCATAGATTAAACAAAAATGCACAAGAAAGAAAACATAAGATTTACATTGGGCATCAGAAGGGTAGTTAACAAATATCATTACACTGACTACTATTTGTTATTGATTCACTCTGAAATACTAAATGAATCATTGTAAACTGATACCACCACTTTTAATTAAAACTTCTTGAACAGAAATAAATATTTTTTGCAAACTTTCTTCAGTGTAAAAAATAAAATAAACATAAATATTCTGATAAAATTTTTATTGAAAATTTTAATAGTGAGATTGAAAGAAATTAGGGATTTATATTTATTTCCAGAATCACTCCATATTTTTTTATCCAAACTGGAAATACTAACTGCATGTACAGAAGAAATTCAACTCCTGACACTCACAAGGATTAAAGAATTTTTGTGCTGTTATTTTACATGTTGAAATCACATATCTTAGTTGCCTACAGAAATTAAATTAAGCAAACTGTATTCTTATTACTTAATAATAAATAAATAAGATTATGTAAACTAAAGGATTTTTTTTTACAGAAAACGACTGCAATTTTATAATCACCAAAATAAAATTCAGAAAATACTTCTAAATAATACAATGCTTAAAATCTGCATGTAAAATAATACTTTACACCAAAGTTTATATCATAATACTTATATGTACGATAGATTCTCGCTTATTCAATGTAAATGGGCAAGCAGCAAGTCAGATAATATGGAGGTGTTAAGAAAAAGCCTATTAAACATCAAACTATTTTACAATTTAACGCATTATAAGGCTAATAATCATGTTTTACAGCAAAACAGAAAGAACAGTCTGAAGTTAAATACAGTAAGCACAGTACTTCAAAAGTTCAGTCCTGTGATGACTGAAACAAATTTTTTATTGTAGTTTGCTTTCTTGATGAGTATTTTTTCCTTCTTCTTGCTGCCGATTCTCATCATCTTTGCATCATTATATCAATTCCTGTAGCCTTTTCTTGTTGCTAAAAATATTTTAATTACATTTACTGAACTCTGTTGTTATGTGAAATTCTGTGAGGCTCAACTAGTTGGTTACATCTTGATTATCATTTTCATCACAACTGATATGAATGACAATTTCTTTATCAGTCACTTCATTCTGATTACCATCAAACTTTTAATTTCTTGCAAAGGTGCATGGGAAACATCCAGAAGTATATTGCATTAAAGGTAGAATGGTTTCTTCAAATTCATCTATGCTTTCCATTTTCATACTTTCATCATTGTCTAGCAATCCAGGCCTGTACAACTCAATAAGCAATATCTTTTACGCTAATTCATTAAAGTTTTTCAATCATATCTTGTCCTTCTTCAGTTTTTTCTATCACTGTGGACAGTACCTTCCTGCGGTATTCCTTTTTATTATTTCCAAAACACCCTGATTTACAGGTTTACAAATGGCAGTTTGGCAGTTACACCAGGAAACAAAAACGTTTCCTTAAAGTCATAATCTTGAAGCTCCTCAGTATTAGGGTGGATTGGAGCACTGTCCAGAAAAAAAAAAAAAAAAAACTTTTCTAAGAAAATTATTTTCTTTCAAAAACTTCTTTATTGAAAGAATGAACTTCTTAAAGAACCAGTCTTTGAAAATTTCACTGCTCATCTATGCAGCATTCTGATTGCAGTATTCTGATTGCAGTATTTTAAGAGGAAGAGCATTTTTTTAAACTGTTTTAAAGGCTCAGGACTTTACATAAGGTGCATTTTGTGGTTTGCAGTAGCATTACTGCATGATAAAGATAATAAAATTGTCAGCTTTTCTTTATTACGCATATAGAAGAGCGCTGCTGCTTCAGTTCTAGCTGAACATCTCTTACTAGGTACATTTTGTAATTAAGGCCTGACTCATCACAGTTAAATATCTGAATATTTGTGAGGCTTTAAGTTTCAGTTAATTACTGAAATGTTTTCTTGAATTGTTCCATTCCTTCAAAATTCGATGATAGATTTCCCCCACAAACACTTAACAAACGGATATTGTAGCATTTCTTCCATCAGTTGAATTAACTGACATTTGTTGCAAAATCAGAGACTCCTTTTCATTGAAATCATTATGAAAATGTAATGACTTTGCCCCTGAACTGTGTAAATCCAATATACAAAGTTTCACTCACTTTTTACTGTCACTTTTTTATAGTTTTTCTTTCTTTTACTGAACACTTGATGAACACCATTTTTCTATTTCTGTGACCCCCCACTCAGCTATAGTTACACCATCCAATACTAAAGTCATCAGCTATTTTTTCTTTTCATTCCCATTCCTTCTGTACTTGCATAAATTTCAGCTTTAAAATGTCACAACAATAGTTTTCAAATTAGACACACCATACACAGACATTATACACATGAACAATAACAAACAATAAATTGATCTGCACACAGTGATAAAATGCACTGCATTGAATGACAGACTAATGAATCATAGCCTTTTGATGGCCATCAACGAGCTCAGCTTGCACTTCATTTATGCAACGCAGTGGCCATAAATGGATACAGCTCATATCACAAATTTACGATAGACAGACATTGTGCATACTTGGGAAGAAAGCATACACACAAAGGACTATGTTCACAATTTGCAATTCATGTTGACAATGGCTGCTTTTTTTCCACAATGCTATATTAGATAAGTGACAATGCACTGAAATTATTTTTAAAACTAGACAAACAACAATTGGAACTTTACATAATGTAGATACCAACCCTTACACATTTCTATCTGTACATATTATTCAAGTTTTCAAACATGAATTATATCAGTTAAATAATATCTATTTCATACTTTTCAATAAAGTAAAATATAAAGTAAAATATAAAAGCAAGCATATTTCTTTAAAATTTTCAATTTAAATGGGAGATGAAAATTTAACCAAGTTCAAAGCTAGCACCAGATATAAACATCATTAAACATTTCTGGATTCAATTCCCTTCTAGAGACATAATTTCTTCAGAAAATTGCAAAATAGTATCTACATCAAATACTGAATTAATTACTTATCATTAAGAAACACTCAAAATAACCACTACGACATACCTACAACATCCACATTAATAGTAGTATTTATTATTCCTTGAGAACTAGTAGCAATGCAAGTGTATTTTCCAGCATCTTCATTAGTGACACCTTTAAAGAAAAGTGTACCATTGTCATCTTGAATGTGAGATGGCCAATCAAAGAATGGATGTCCCACTTTCATCCACCGCACAACTGGTTGTGTTGAACCTCTAGCTTTACAATAAATTTTAGTATATGAACCTAATTCCAGTCTTGTGCTAACAGGAGGTGGGACAAATTTCAGTTGCTCTGAAAAAAAAAAAAAAAAAAAAAAAAAAAAAAAAAATATATATATATATATATATATATATATAGATATATATATAAATACAAATATAAAATTTTGTATAGATGCAAAAAACTAAACAAATAAATATTCAGTAGTTTTAAGTTTTCAACAAACCCAAAAGAAATGCATTTGTAATTCTTAATGATAATATCAGAATATAATATGATAATAAATGAAACCATGATCCATATGAAGATTATAACTTTTCCACTTTTTTAAGCATACATATAAATTTAGTAACATTTTCATTTACAATTAGAAGCCAAATTTATAGGATCATACATGCCCTTAGAGATTCTCACATGAATAATTAACTTTTCAAAATATAAACATGCAATGTGTCTTAAGATAAAGAACCTAATATGTGCATGCAATAAGACCTACTTTTCAGATATCCAACACTGTTTATAATAACAGTTAGTTACAAGAATATTTTTAGAGATGAAGGGAAAAAGTATGAACTCTAAAATAACTTTCCAGTTGCTATTAATCAATCAGTATATGAAAATAATAAAATTTTATGATACTCGTTTCACCAAAAACATACCTTTAACAACAAGAGTTGCTTTTTCAGATTTTGCTGGAGGAAAACCATTTGTGATGACTTCACACACATAATCTGCAGAATCTGACATAACAACTTTATGAATGATAAGAGTTCCATTGTGTAGAAATATAACAGAATGTCCAGGTCTCTCTTTCAAAGGTTGGTCATCTTTAAGCCACTTGACATATGTGACTGGATAAGGACTTCCATTGAATTCACAAGTAAATGTTGCTGATTCACCTTCTTCAGCAAGTAAACTGACTGGAGGCAATGTGATTGTAGGTGCAGCTAAAAGTAAAAGAATTTATTTAATTGTAATTATTAGCTATTTCTCAAAATTATTAAGTTTAAAAAATGAAAGATCATTTATGATGTACATTTAATACCAAACAAATGCAAAAAAATATTTTGAGGTAACAAAAAATATTAACTACTTTATACTAGAACAAATACAAAGGTTTTAATGTGATAGTACACTGGCAAGAAAATTGAAGAAACAACTATAAAAAGGTGCTTTATATCAATTATATTAAAGGAAGTTCAATGGAAGGTAGCTAGTTGGCAGATGAAAGTCAATGTTATCTTGATGCCCAATGGGATTTACCCTCGTTACATGGAAATGTGCAAATATTTTCACCTGTTCTTTCAGCATATGAGGAAAGGAGCATAGGTAGACACTTCAAATTCTAATTTTAAGGCTTGTATGAATAAAGTTTTCATTTTGGATGTTAGAACAGGTTGTTGAGAAGGCATCTGATTGATTGTGAGAAATGGCATGTGAGAGTGGAAGCAGAACAGACACCAACACAGGTCTGTAAAGATTTAAAACTACCCAAAAGTATCATGTCAAGAATCTGAAAATGGTTTAAAGGGGCTGGTAATGTCTACAAACAGACCAGGGTAAAAAAAAATGGGTCAAAATAGTCACTTATAATTGCTACTAGGCAATGACTGCTAAAAGAAATAGGTAACTGATATAAGCCCATACTGCAAATACGTTTGCTATAGCTACAGAAATTAGATTTCTTGTTATTTCTCAAAGTCGAGATGACATTCCAACCTAAGGCTGGGGTGCCTAACAGATTAACATCATCCCAATGAAAGAAAGGTATCAGCAGACACGCATTTATTGAAGCACCTTCAAGCATTACAGGTTATTGCACTGTTATGTTACATAAATATTACATGGTGCACAAGTTTGTGCTTTATTAGTCTCTTGCATTATTCACAGTGATTTTTATGTTGCTCTGTGCAAGTAGCATATTTTGACATTTAGAATTTGAGAGATGAGGAAAAGATATGATAATAAAATAAGAAAAAAATATAAGAAGAAATAAAAATAAGACTAGAGAGAAAACATAACAAAACAAAACAAGACTGGGAAAAAAAAAAAAAAAGAGTAACATTAATACAATTCTTGTGTATGCAATACACCAGGGGTGGCCAAAATGGGGCTTGCGAACCTGATACGGCTCTTGCAGGCAATTTGTGAGGGTCATGCATATAAAATATATGTATGAAATATGATAAACTAAAACTATTCAGTGTCCAAAAGAATGTAATTAATTAGTTTAGACTCTTTTTACAAAGTTATCAGGCATTTCTTTCTATTTAAAATCTCCTCCACTACTTCTATAATAATGTAAATACCAACTTGTGGCTTTTAGAAAATCTAGATGTGGCTCTCGAACATTCCCGAATTCAAATGTGCGGCTCTTACAGACATGAATTTTGGCCAACCAAACAATATACTGTACAAGCAAATAAACAGTATTCATTATTATGCAGATGAATGAAAGTGGTTAACTGATACATACATTAGGAGCACTTTCAAGCAAGTCAATAAAACATATTATTATATGGATAAATAATTAAGACCGGCTGATATAATACATAAATTTAGGACTGTTGCATGTGAGTAAGCAGGATCTGTTTTTAATTGACAATAGGAACAAAATTTCAAACCAGTTGAAATGCAAGTTGACAAAAAAAAATTTTACTAGACATATTGTACAATGCTTATGATTATTAAAAACTTTGAAATGTCTTGCTTCGTACATGTATATATGTAACATATTACTAAATAACATTTATACTTTACTAAACACATACATCAAAACTCCTACCACCCCAATTCAAATATTTAATTCTGAACAAGCAGATAAACAATACATATCATTAAGCAGAAAAATAATAAAGACTAACTGAAATGATGCATAGATTTAATACTGTTACAAGCAAATGAACAAAACATATTATTATTCAGATAAATGATAAAGACTAACTGATACAATACATAAATTTAGAACTGTTGTGAGTGAGTTTACAAGACTTGTAGTCAATTAGTAGTAAGAACAATATTTGAAACCTGATGAAATGAAATCCAAGCTGACAGTGAATCTGTTGCAAGAAGTATTGCAACACTGATGCAATATATAACTAGTCTAATATATATATTAACAAGGTTGAAATGCTGTGCTCAGTACATATACTTATGTACTATATATGATAAAATACACATTTGATAGACGCTTATCAAATATGCATTTGAAACCAAAGTTGCTAGTTCTAAGAACTCCAGTGCTATCATGTTACAGGAATAAGATTATCTAGATATACCATGAGTCACTGGCTGCATAAAAGAGGGCTGTATGAAAGGAAAGGGATTAGTAGCCCACTAACTTGGATTATGAGATGTATTTGGTTGCAATGGGAAGAGATCATTGTGATTGGACCATGGACTGGAGCGCAATTCCCTTTACTGACGAGTCTCATTTTTGCTTGCAAAATGATTCCAAATGTGTTATAAGCTGGATGGAGCAATATAAATACACAAAGCATTAAAAGAATCATGAAAGGCATCGGGGACATAAGTGGTGGAATGCTGGTATGAATGGGCATCATGTTGAATATCTGCACTGACCTGCATATTTTACCAGTGCAATTATGAATGCTGAAATATAAAAAGATGAGGTTCTTCATCCTCGTTTTTCAGGAAATAATTAGTAACAACTTCCTTTTTAAATGGCTGTTAATGCTTGTCTCCATCTTGCTGCACTAGTAACCGATTATTTTGAGGGCGAAAAAATCTTGTGGATAGGCTGCCTCACATATTCTCTGGATTTAAATTTGATAGAATATGCGTGGAATGCAATAAGACACCAACTTGCATCACTGCAATCCACATCTTGCACTCTGCAGGAGTTTCAGGGCACTATGTATCAAGAACATGCTTTGTTACCACAGGAACTTGGTGTATTTTCTATTTCATGCTGGGTATTAGGTGTCCATAGAAACTTTTGACATTTAATACACAGCATAGAAAATTGCTATAAAATTGTCATCTTTGTTAATCATGAGCATACACATTATTAATTTTTTCTACACATTTATAAAAAAGATAACACACTAGTTTTACCCATCCCACTTCCATTTCATATGTTCTTATAGCTCACTGGTGGCTGAGCAGTAAAGTTGTCGAACACTTGTAGTTCAGTCCGCAGTTCGAATCCTAATAAACAAGATAGCTGTATGTGCATTTTAGTGGTTTTCTTGATGTGTAGCATGTACACGAGTCAGTTTCTCTTAGGAAATCCTCCATAAAGGCATCCCTCCCCTTACGCAGATAGCCCTCGAGTGCTGTGCCATAATTAAAATAAAGAAAGCAAACCTATGTTCTTATTTTAATTAGTTAATTAATTATTATTATTATTATCTGCAGAAAAAAAAGAATTCCATAATTTGAAGATATGTTAGGTAAGACAAAATACAGACCTTATGCAAGTTTTCCTTCTTGGCTTTAAAAACTTAAAACTTTGTCCAAAATCACCGGACACTCCACCTTTTCGTCTAACTGGAAGACATTTTCCGAAAATTTACTTTCACGGAAAAGGTAATAAAGATAAGAGAACATGCGTTGCGTGCACTATAAAACAAGGAAGAGTGAACGCAAGCAACGTATTTTGAGTGCAAAATATGGAACGTAGGACTGTGTGTCGATCCTTGTTTTGAATTATTTTATACACAGCAGAATTTTTAATTACCTACAAGTAATTCTTGCTTAGTTATTATTATTATTATTATTATTATTATTTCATATCTGCAATTTTGTTTTCATGTTTCTAGTATTTATTTCTGTGTGTATAGTTATGATTTTCGTATTTTGCTTGTATAATTTATTTCTATTAATGTGATATTCCTTATATTAAATACATATTAAGAACACTACATTAAGTACACAAAAAATTGAAGTCATTATATCAAAATGCTGATTTTTTACAATTTTTTTTTTTTTTTTTTTTTTTTTTTTTTTTTTTTTTTTTTTTTTTTGTAAAAATAGGCTTAATTGCTGAAAATGTGCGGGCCAGTGGCGATGATCCATTTCAGCGGGTCCGGTCCCATAACTGCACGCTTCATTCTTTGCGGGCGGGTCCCTAAGGAGTTAAGGCACGGCAAATTGTGTGTATGCTGGATTCTGAGAATGTTTGGGGGGGAAGAAGAGTTTCAGATTTTAAATTAGTTTTTTTTTTAATGTTTTGTGTGTTACCTTTATTTATTAAATATCATGTTATTTGCACTTACACCATAAAATTTAGTTCAACAGCAATGTTGCAAAGTAATTTTAAATGAGCATATCTTTAGAATTTCTGATAAACAGTTCTGCACGCTGAAGGTAAAAAGGTTCCCCCCCCCCAAGTAGAGTGGCGCCATTACTCGCTTTTAAATCGTTGAGTTTGTTAATCAAAAATCCATTAAAGTTTTACAAAATATGAAATCGATAATAAAACAAATTCAAAATTTGGACTTTCAGATGCCCATATTCGCAGCAGCATTACGTCATTCAAAACTGGATGGCTTTAGGTATAGTTGTTTTATCACAATGCAAGAAACATAGATACATTTATGCAGATTTTTCATTGTTTAATTTCTTCAAATGTAATACATAGCAATAGTATTTGGTGGCAACAATTTGAAAAGTGATACGCCATTTATAGGGTTCTGACGCAAAATCGTGAAATGAAAACAATAACTTATTAAAAAAAAAAAAAAAAAAAAGAGGGAAAGGAAAGGCTTTGCACATAACTTTCTCACATGCTACACAAAAGCAGGCAATGTGTTTCTTAATCACATTGTGACTCCTCACATGAGATGGGTTATCACCACATACTATCCAAGCAACAGTAAATGTAATGTGCACAATATGAATTCCCCAAAATCCAAAAAATTCAAAACTTCAATTTCAGGGAAAAAAATCATGGTGACTGTTTTTTGGGACAAAGGCATTCTTTCAACTGATTTCATGCCTACCAGCACAATTAATGCTGATGCATATTATGGGACTTTGAGATGTCTTAGATGGAGAATTCAAAACAAGCTTAGGTATGCTTGCTTCATGACAATGCTTGTCCTGGAGAATTCAAAACAAGCTTAGGTATGCTTGCTTCATGACAATGCTTGTCCTCATACAGTGCTTAAAAAGGAAAAAAGGCACATTTCAGAAATTTCAAATGGGAAGTTTTAGGCCATCTGCCATACAAACTGAACCTTATACCCAGTGACTTATACTTAATCCTTTCACTGAAGAAACATCTTGCGAGGCAACAACCCATTGATCATGATCATTCATGGCCACGATAAGATTAAAATTCAGGTTGAAATGTTTCAACAATAGACAGTACGTCTATGACTGAGGGATAGAAAAGCTTGTATCCAGACATAACAAATGCTTGGAGAATAGCAGCAAATAAGGCATTAACCAGTAAATAATTTGTAATGGACATTTTATCAATTAAATGTTTTTTTAATGAGGCATTGCAGCCTCACTTTTTGAAAATGCCTCATGTTAATGAACCCAACATACAAATATATATAAATAAAATATAATTTAAATATGAATTTTAATAAATAATTATTGAACCCTTGAAGAATTACTAAAATTAATCATTACATATTTACCTGCAACATAAAAATATAAAGATGCTCGCTCTTGGCCAGCTATATTTTCAGCAACACATGTATAATTTCCGGTATCTGACTTTTTAGCCCCATCAACTATCAACTGAGAATCATCAACACGAATACGTCCAGCATCACTTATGACACGACCAGATGAGTCTTCCCACCAAATTCTAACTTTTGGCCTTCCTCCTGGTTTCACACAAGTTACTTCAAACTGGCTTCCAAGTGGAACAACTTTAAGCTCATCATGTCCAACGGGAGGTTCAAAGGGACTCATACCAAAGCCATCAATAACTGAAAATAAATACAAGCTTTGAGTTCTTAATGTAAAGGTAGTTTTAAAGACAAAACTGACTTCATTTCTGAAAGTACAAATAGCTCTCAATACTTACATTCAGTTTGTATTAATGGAGTGATCTCAAGATGAGATTACTAATTGTCGTATCATTCAATGTTCCTTACTTTAATAAAAAAGAAATGCAATTTTTAAAATCTCTTATGTATTTTTCTATTAATGATTATTCCACAGTTAGTTTAAATAGAGTTAAATTTCTATATGATTTTATTACACTAAAATTGAGGATATAATTATTGCAGAGATTTCTCTGCCCAAAAGAAAAATGGGTGATTCTGATTCTTTTGTAGCCTGGATTATTGATTGACACAAATTTCAGGAATGACATAACATGGCAAAAGTATTTCATAATATAAAACATAGTGAAATGTGAAAGCAGACAAAGTATAAAGAACATAAAGTATAAAGAAATAAGTAATTTTAATCATAGATCTTTATAAGAAATAATGTTTGTTATTTATAAGAACTGGTCAAATGAAAAATAAATCTCATTTACAAGATACAGATTGACTCTCCTGAAGACCTTGTCACCAACATCAGCTTAACTGGTACAGAAGTAGATGACATGCCAGACATCTCATAAACTGAATGCCAATCATTCCATTGTTGTAGAAATTGGTGTAGTTCATCTGAACTAATCTTGTAAATATCTATTATCAAAATGACTTTTTGCTTTACACAGTCTTCATACTTACTGTGCTCCAATGTTCACATTTCTCATTCATCATGCATTGCATACTGAAAATTAGCAGTTTTGCCATGTTCTACACTACTGGACAATTGCTAAGAATGTGCAACACTATCAACCATAGTAATAACAGAATAAAAGGAAGCAAAATGTGGAAAATTAGAATAAATGTGGGGTGGGATACAGTAAGAAGGGGGTGTATGTATGAAAGATTTCATTTCCCCGCCTGTTCATCACATAACACTGATAAAAGATTTAAAGCATTTGACATGTATGGGCAGCTGTTATACCAAGTGAAAGTTTTACAGCAAAGATTTAGTTGATGATCTTGAAAGTTTTGACATATCTTCCTGACATCTCTTAGATGATTTTTATAAGTGGCTATATCATTGAAAAGACCAAAGAAAAAAACAACAGGTGTTGCCAGGAAATTCAACATCGGCCACAGCATTGTTCAGCAGCTGTGGAAAGCATTTAAAACAACTGAAACCTGCATCTAGTCTCGGGGAAGGTCGAGTTACATGTACAAAACCTGTAGAAGTCAGGTATATTGCCCTATTAGCAAAAAGAAACTGGTGCATTACAGCTCGTCACATATAAAATAAGTTTCTTACTGCTAGACGACAATAGATCTGAAAAACTCTGGCCAGACATTTGGGAAAAGGACTTTATGCCCGCACACCTGTCATGCATGTCCCAGGGTCTGGACAGCACCATACCACTCATGCAGTATCATGGTACGGACTGGCAACATGATCAATGGCTGCACGTCCTTCATATTTGTTTATAGCTGTCAACAATACACTGATAAAGATTTATTGTCTTACATTCACCTTTTCCAATGTACTTGGAATTGGACATTGATGATTAAGTTCTTTTCAAGGACTACAGTACACAATGTCACCAAATTCTTTCTGTTCAGGAGTGTACACATAGCGAGAATTTCCAATGCCTTGTATGGCCAGCATGTTCTTCAGATCTAAAGCATACTGAAAAGTTTGGAATGCTCTGAGCAGGTGATTTGTCGGTCAGAAATATCCTGCAGCAAACAAGACAATCCTCATCCAAGAACTGACATACAAGTGGGATTTATTACCTCAACAACTGCTGAATAATGTTATGCAAAGTACACTCACTTCCAAAAGTTAAGCACAAAGATGTAAAATGCAAAAAAATCAACAAATACTGCTTTGATTGACACAAAATTCGGCAGGAAAGTAGCATCTATATTTATGCATAAAACAAAATCAATAATTATATACAGAAATGAAAAAAATTCTAAATTTTTGTAAGTTATCAGATAATGACATACTGGAGACTTAAACAGAATTATGTATAAAGTGAAAATAAACAGCATGAAAATGAAAAAAAAAAAAAAAAAAAAAAAAAAAAAAAAAAAAAGACATTAATAGGGTATGTGATCCCCCCACATCTGTATACAATGTTTACACCTTGTGACCATGCTTTCAATTAGGTGGTCAACCACCGCAGAATTAAGCAATCACCATTCTTCTTGTAGAGCAGCTTCCATCTCAGTAAGAGTGGCTGGAGGTGGGAATTGTGAAGATACAGCACGACCAAGAGCATCCCAAAGATTTTCAATGGGATTAAGGTCGGGCAAATATGCTGGCCACGCCATACGTCCAATCCCTTTACTCCCCAGGTAGTCATCGATGATGTCAGCTCTATGGGGATGTGCGTTATTGTCCATTAAAACAAAAGTAGGGCCAACTACTGCAGCGTACAATCTCACAATGGGTTCTAGGACCTCATCTCGATACTGGACAGCTTTCAAAGAACCCCGTTTAAAGATGTACAGGTTGGTGCGGTATCCTAATGAAATTCCTGCTTGTAATGCTTCCGCCTCGGAATGCATGATTTTCGGTGATCTTTGGGGATTGATTGTGTGTTTGTTGTTCACGCCATATCCTTATACACTTGTCATCTGGCTCCAAAGCAAATCTTGACTCATCAGTAAACATGACATTGCCTCAGTCAGACACATTCCAATTGACATGTTCCCGGCACCACTGTAATCGTGCCCCTCTTGATTGGACAGATAGAGGAACACCAACTCGAGGTGCCTGGGCGTACAGTCCACTCATATGTAATCTTCAGCGTACAGTAGCTGCAGATATCACCTTAGCAATGGACGCTGTAACCATAGATGTCACATGTGTGGAGGTCGCTCTGCGATTCCACTGGCTACAATAGCAATATATCGATCTTCAGCAGTGGTTGTAACCCTTGGGCGACCGTCTACGGATCTTCGGACAACTGTCTGTGTGGTTTGGAATTGTTTCCATAAACGTGGAATTAAAGAATGATGAACGCCGAAGAAAAGAGCAACATCTGTGATCGACTGTCCTGCTTCAATGCGCCCCACAGCACGCCAGCGCTCAGAATCTTCCATTTGTCTTCTGGAAGTCATAGAAACACGTATGTCTTAAAAACAAACTGTACGAAAGTTTTAAACACCTTCTATCAGCACTTTACAATCAACTTCTGTAACCCTTCATAAAAAATTGAAAGAATTAATTAAAATTGGGCTTCATAAAGCTGGCTTCTTATAAGACTGCCTTTTTTGCATATTTCTTCAAAGCGCGATTGGCTGTTACCTAACATACTTGCATACTTCCATCTATCTACCTCTGCAGCGAACTGCATCCTCTTAAATTCTGATTGCCTTCCGGAAATTAGCATTTTCCTCTCCGTGCTTGACTTTTGAAAGTGAGTGTATAAACAACTAATGGAAATTGCAATAATCCGTGGTGAATATATCCCATACTGATACCTTTCTCAAAAGCTTCTGCTGTTGTTCATAAGCATTTTCCCATTTCTCCATACACAGAGAAAAAAAAAAAAAAAAAAAAAAAACTTTTGGATGTTTCAAACTTTTTTCTATTTTCCTGAACAATAAATGTCATTTATTCTAATATCCAAATTGGACATTGTTTATCAAGACAAAAGGGCATCACAACATAAAAACCCAAAGATCCAATGAAATTGAAATTCATGAAAAATGCACCTTTCATCAAGATATCAGGATACCTATGTGAAAGTCTTTAACTTGGCAAATAATCAGCAACTTCCATAAAGGTGCTGGTATATTTATGATAGGGCATCGTGATGAAATCTTTGGGATGTTACAAGAAACTTTTTCACTTTGTGCTATTGAGTAAAGAATTAGATCTAATAGCTATGAATTTTCGATGGGTTTAAAATGTTAGGTTTAGTATGTTTAGTTTATTTATTTTTTTTTGGGGGGGGGGGTTATAAAAACCTTTTTTTTTTCAATGAGTTTATTCATCTTTGCTGCATGAATCCTACAACAATGATCAATATTTCATTCATTTTTAAACCATCTATAACAAAGATGTGATATAAGTGATGAGGTGATACTATGACTACTGGCATCTTATGAAATTTCCTGAATTTCTGACAACCCCAGGCACTCTGCTTTAGATAATTTTCAAGGTTAAAAACTTTGCCAAGCATAATGTTTTGATTACTTACTTATATGTGTTTTTTTTCAATGACTGCAAACATCAGTATGTTTATTAGTTAGGAATTTATTCAACTAACTGCAGTAATGGTTTTGCCATATAAAAGCATTTAATTTTATTTTATTTCATCTTTGAAGGTGTATTGTACATTTCTCATTGTCTGCTGGCAGTTAAATTTTGCAACAACTTGCTGTGCACAAATGATGCATCTGTTGTTTTAGGGAAAATTAGAAGATTTTGGGTGAATTTTATGAACTTTTCAAATATGATTTTATGGGTCAAGGCACACATGTAAGTGAAAAATTTTGTAATGTTTAGAACATGCATAAATACTAATCAAATAATTATTTACTGATTTGAAAATTTTACTTAAGCCTAAAATTTCAAATGAGGCCATAATGTTGATATATAATTTAAACTCTAATCTGATACATGGCATTACATATGCTATAACTCCAATATATAATTATAGTGCATCATTTCCTGGCATCTGGAGCTATCTATGTTAAGAAACTAATTTATGTCTTGGTATGACAAGTTGAAATGTGGGCACAGTTTCTCAAGCAAAACATAAAAGATCCTCATGTGCACAATATTAAAGTATACATAAGATGAAAAATATATCCCTTATAACAAATGGTATTATTCAGTTCAGTGAATTGGCATTAAGACTTATTGTAATAATCTATAAGTAAAGTATTATAAATAACTCTATATAAACATAAAATAGTATAAAAAATTAGCAACAAACAATATCTTGTAAAGTTTCAAGGCTTGGAAATATGTTCCAAGACACCTTTAAAGTAAATATGAACTGTTATATCTATTCTAACTATCGAACTGTCCAATCTGTTATATCCATTCTGAACATCTAAGTAACAGATTCTACTATAGAAAAGATTTATTCCTGTATCTGTATTAATAAAGTATAATTTAAATTTTAGATTTTTAGAAGAGGAGAGGGTGGAAGTAAAGCCAAGATTTGTTTTATTCTATTTGGAAAAAATATTTTTAAAACTATAAATATAATAGGTACTATTCGGTTTTCAGGGCCGTAAAAAATCGCCAAACTATTGTTGATGCCAGTGCTGCCAAAAATAATTACGGCAACCCTAACACAAGAAAGGAAGTATAACAGTAAATAACTATCTAAGACTGATGTTTCAATTTAGATGAAAGGTTAATTTCATATAATACTTTTTATTATTATAGTTTATATATAAAAGGCTAAACATGACTGAATGGAAGCATAAGAGTAAATAACTATTCAGATCATTATTATAATTTAGTATATAAAAATTGGGTTGATCTTCGGATTATGGTAACTTGACGATTTTTTGGCGACCAACCCTGCTACAGCAATCTGTTATTTTTTTTTTTTTTTATTGATGCCATTTTGTTTTCACAAAGTAAAGGCTTTTTTTTTATTATTATTTTTATTTTTATTTTATTTTATTTTTTATTTTTTTATTTTTTTAAACTCAACATTTTTTTTTCCAACAATCTGCTATCTGAATTATGCTTATGCTAGAACTTTTATGGAACAAAAGTGCTTAATCATGACGAAGATTAGGTGCGAAATTGGGAGAAAATACAGAATCGCAAACTGCTTGCCGCATTTTTAAGAATTGCACATACACAGTATCCGTGTATACGTCGACCTATTTTCACTTAAAAAAACATCCCAGAATTGCACAAAAATGGCATTGCGCACACTCTTGACTTTATCCATGTACACTGCTAAAGTAGTAGCTAGTAACCTTTATCACCTTACCAAAATGTTGCCAAACTACCTGTACCATATTCAAAAGATTAACCAAAAATTGCTAAACATAACTGAATGGATGGCTGCATCGCTATTTCGCTATTGAGTTATCGCTAAAGCATAATGTCATCTCGTTGGTTGTTCAAACATAATTTCCTATAATGAATGATGCCTTTTCTTTGAAAAAATTCTCGGTAAAGTGCAGAATCGCCCACTTATTTGTTTGCCGCTTTTTACAAGGGTAAAAACAATTGGATTTTTGTCAATTTTCTTTTACTTTTAAAATGACAATAGGTCGATAAATTATAAAAGGCTAAACATGATATAGTCAAGGGTAGATAAAGTCAAGGGATATAATAGTCATACATAGATAAAGTCAAGGGTGTGCGCAGTGCCATTTTTGTTCAATTCTGGGATTTTTTTCAAGTAAGTGAAAATAAGTCAATGTGTACATGGATACTGAGTATGTGAAATTCTTAAAAACGCGTCAAGCAATGAGTGATTCTGCACTTTACTTAAAATTCTATCTCAGACTTTTCATAATGGGCAATTCCCAAATTGTTAAATCCATAGGATATCAAAAAAGGATTTAAAAATTAAACTAATATTTCAATGGTGTCTTAAGAAATATAGAACTATATAAACTTAACACAATCTGAAATCAGCCCATATGTTAGATTTCGCACGCTGTTAAATGGGCACGTTTGCTAGATTTGGCGCATACATTTTCGCTGCAATTTTTTTTTTTTACTGCCCTCAAAACGGAATAGTACCATATAATAATATACTCACTTTACAGTAACATGAAACAACGATTAAGAAACAATAAACATCTTAAAACTTAGTCTGTAACTTACATGCCAATTTAAGCCTTGCAGCATATGTTTGCTGGGGTGCTTCTTTGCTTATATCACTAATCCCAACACATTTGTATATTCCTTCATCACTGCTTCGAATTTCAGAAATGCCAAGAGAACCATTAGGATATAATGTAAATCTAAAATGAAAACACTGTAATATTTAATATGCATTAATTTTGCATTATTCATCAATACGAATTATTACTTTTAAAATTGTGTAAAACACAATAAAATTTCAAATAAAAAAATTAGTAGTTGTACCTGATAATTAATTTTAATTTTAAATCTCCAAATGCAGTAAATTAAAAGAATTTTTAAGACAGATAAAAATTTAATTATGTGATCTTCAAAATGCAATAAAATAAATTCCTTGTACTAAATAGATAATGATTCTATGGTAGCTAAGTATGAAATAAAACATAACTAACAAAGCTAAGCATTATTTAATTAATGCATAAATTATCCAAATTAATTAATTGCTTTGTTTTGCATTAATACATTAATTAGTTACTAAAAATAAATCATTAAATAGAGAAAATTAATATGAACCTCAGTATTTAATTATGAGATTTAAATAACATTAAAATAGTATTTTGCATTTATCAAGAAGAAAAACTTAAGATACTCAAATAAAGAGAACAAAAGAAGAGGATCAACATACATCTAAAATGAGGTAAACATGAATAATGAAGACAATACTCTTTATCAATGCAAATCTTTTACTCTGCAATCATGTGTCACATACATTCTTATTCTAGTACAAGAGCAAAAGTCTGTAAGACAGACACAGGTCCTACATACAGCCTTTTTTCTGAGTCCCCCTATGTTCATTTTTCTTGTTTTTTGTTGCAAGATATCAGATAAGAGGAAATAAGAGGTTCAATATGATGATCTGGGATTACTTTAGAACCTGAACCTTGTGGACACTTACTGTTACTTGAATCTTCTGAATACGGTGATATCATATGTTCTACCAATGTTAAATGGCTAAGTTGTGGAAAATGTTTAAAAAGATTTTTAAATTTACATACAAAAATACATATATTTCGAAACAAGAATTTGTTCCTGAATTAGGTGATGATGACTGGTTGTTAGACATACGTTTTTAGCAGATATAACAGAAATATTTAATCAGCTATATAAGGACTTGAAAGGGTAAGATGATTTAGATTATTGAACAATGCTTGTAATTTCATCAAAGCTTTTAATTAGAAGTTATTGTTATTTGATAGCCAACTTAGAAATAATAATGCTCAACATTCTTTGTGGTTAATCTTTGGATTATGGTAACTTCGCGATTTTTTGGCGAAAATTTGGCGACCAACCCTGCTACAGCAACCTGCTAGTTTTTGTTTGGACGCCATTTTGTTTTCACAAAGTAAAGGCATTTCCCCCCCCCTCAACATTTTTTTCCAACAATCTGCTAGCCGAATTACGCTTATGCTAGAACTTTTATGGAACAAAAGTGCTTAATCATGACGAAGATTAGGTGCGAAATTGGGAGAAAGTGCAGAATCGCAAACTGCTTGCCGCATTTTTAAGAATTGCACATACACGGTATCCATGTACACGTCGACCTATTTTCACTTAAAAAAAAATCCCAGAATTGCACAAAAATGGCATTGCGCACACTCTTGACTTTATCCATGTACACTGCTAAACTCCTAGCTAGTAACCTTTATCGCCTTACCAAAATGTCGCCAAACTGCCTGTTACCATATTCCAAAGATTAGCTTTTTTGGTTGTAAATATCTTTCCCAAAAGCAAACCTAATAATTTCTTGAAATATGCTAATGAAATAAACTTATTTTTGATAACTGTTGAAAATATTATTGTTACAACTTAGATTGTAGACATATTAAAAAGCTACTAATATATTTTAAAAAGTAATAATAAGATTCATTTTAAACATGAATAAATATAACAATAGGGAAAAACAGTAATAAAATCGATATACATCAGAAAGAGTACGATCTGACTTATGTACAACACAAATGAATACAGTAAAGCAAATATCGTTTACTGAATTCATTTGTGTTGTAGAGAAACGTTATTTTTTTAATTTACACACTTCGGCGCCTAATGCGATATACGAGCGAAAGAAATTTAGTGTTGGTGGCGCCACCTGTTAAGAAGAATATCGTTCGTGGTCTAAAGTACTGACTTCAGAATCGAAACTGGAAATAAATTACGCTTGAACTGATATACGAGTCGATAATGCAATTTTGCTTTACTTTACAAATATATCATTTAATTCTTTCTATATGGTTTTTCAGTCAAATATAGCCAAAAAAATTTGATTGTTGGCTTCTTTCCGGGTATCACACATTGTGTATATCATCTATAACACGATACTTTAGTATAGAACTGTTTTTTCTTGCAAAGCTTTAGGACTTAGTGCATCTATATACTCATATCATACTTAGTGCATCTACTTCTATTAATTTTACGGCGTTTCACCCCTCTCAAATTAATTTTGCCTGCATTTACTTTGGACTTTTGTGTTTTTTACAGAAGCAAAGACATTACATGTACATATTATTTATTGTTTTATTCAAGAATTCATCCCTAATTTACGCACAGTGCTAAAAATTTTAAATTGGTCAGCGACCAACTGGAACCCTATTTAGACACCATGTGACTCCTGACGCCGCTTTAGACCTTCTCAGCCAAGACCATCTAGTACTTCAATAGCCCATTGATGGTGCCAGCTCTGCTCTCAGCTAAGCCCTAGTGCTTGCTTACTATTTATTTCATGTTATTACACATTAAATTAATCGCCTTCGGGTGAGATACATAAATATGTATCCTTAAAATATTAAAAACTAATGGCCACTGATAATTAAAATTTAACGTAATAGTTAATACTCCCAGTAGTAGACACCAGAAGTAAAGCTATGATCTACGATCTCCCGGGTATCACACATCAATCAGAAATGAAACTCGAAATCTGTTCAACAAGTCCGAATTGAAACTCGATATCTGTTTATAAGTCACGGATATGCAACTAGATTTTAAGGGACTGTTAATATGTTTACAACAATTTTTAACTTCCAGACTTCTCATTTAATTCCTTAAAGTAAATTATAAAAAGCAAACAGTTCACTCACCTACTATTATTTACCAATGGCACATCATTGGTCTGAGTATACCATTCAACGGCAGCTGCATTTTCGAAGACGCAATCAAATCTTGCACTTCCGTTCTTTGTAGCAATGATATCTTTTGGAAGAACCTTGATTTGTGCTGCAGTCTCGCCTAGAATTGAACATGATACATTACATATAACGTATAGAGAGAACCTGAATTACGAAATTCTTAAACCTTTATATAGAAAAATATAAGACAAACCATATTTCATCCCCACTCTTCAAATGGATAAAAGCAGTTTGATAATAATTTGAAACTGGAAAACGCTCTATTCATATCGAATGACAATGTACAGTTTCTATGATTAGCACATGTGCTAAAGTTACTTATAGTTATTATAAACATGCTAATATAGCACCAACAGAAATCTAGAACCAACGGGAGGAGGAACCCGAAGATTTCTGAAATTTAGAGACTTAACTTTTTTTTAGAAGTGCCTGCCTAAAACCTTATCTTCTTTTATCAATTTTACAGTTGGCTGGATTGGATGCTGCTACTATCGATGACGAAATCACATGTGTCATAAGTAACAAGAATGAACTAAAGAATTAGAAGAATGGACAAGAAATCTTGACGCATTTAAAACTCATCTCTGGAGACCCTTTTCTGAGCTCTCGCAACATATTTCACTAGTTGGGAATACTTTTTTTCAACATATTACTCTCCCGGTCAGTTGCAGAACGCCGATTTTGCGGGATGAATGAGTCGGACACGACCTTATTCCTTCAATGGATACTGAATTTTTTAATGGTTTCATTTGAATGCTTTCACTTCAATTTAAATGTTTGGAAATTCCATAAATACTATTTTACATAACTATGAAAAATAAATATTGAAGATAACTCCTCGTTTTTTCTCCTCGCAAGTTTCCTCGGCTAATTACTATACATTAGAACAGCAACTGCATTATAATCAGATTCAGGGTTCAAAATTATACACGGTAGCTAATTTTAAATATAAGACTTACTGGGCAGTGTCAGTGCAAAATTATCACTGCTGTCGACAACTCCAACATCGCTTACAGCTCTACAAGAATAGATTCCATTGTCAGCTGGAGAGAGAGATGCCACCTGTAGACGTTTGTTGCGGAAGGAGACTCTTTCGTTGCGGAACATCCTGAGGCCATTATGGAACCATTCAAAGCGAACTTCTGAACTACCTTCCACTTTGCATCGCAAAACCATTTCGCCATTTTCTGCCAGCTGATCTACAGATTCTGGACTCTGAAGAATAACACGAGCCTGTTCCCCTATCCCTGAAAAGAATAAAATTATTAATATAATCACGTCTTCGCATCATCGTGAAAAATTAATTCGTTTCTCGCACAACATTTATGATTAAATTTTCTTTAAAAAAATGTAAAAAGTAAACGAGGATATTATATGTGTTTTAAATTACCAACCAACTGTATACAGCTTTTTAGTACAGTTTTAGCTGACGACGAATGGGAACATCTGGTCTTTACCAATGTTAATACATATTGCGCCACATTTCTCATTAACTAGATTTAATTTTTTTAAATTATAATAACAACATTTTTTACGTTTTTCATATTTTAATAATTCCAATTTAAAAATTTTTAACATATATACATGAATATAGAATAAAAAATTGCAAGGACATTAAAAATAAAGTTCATAATGTCTACAGTTCACAGAGTCCAAAAGGTTTGATCAAACTTTCATAAAATCGAACGTCATACAAAAAAAGTCATTTCTATCGTTATGTATAACAGAAAACTATTATGCGTAGTTTTATAAATAAAGTAATTAAATTTCAAAAGAAGAGGTAAATAGGCTTCTATTATATCCACATATTTAACTTGGTTTGCACTACAAATATCTTGTCCCAATGCAGAAAATAGCCTCATAATTTAAAAAAAAAAAAAAAAAAAATCTTTGTTTAATAAAGAGTCTTTGGAAAGAAATGACATTAGCTGCAATAAATTTGATATGAAATTGTTTAATTAAGGGATATTTCATTATATAATGATCTGGAGATCCTGTGTCTCCACAGATACGATTTGTGTGGGTTAACGCATACTTAAAGTAAAATGTTGCGAAAGGACAATTTTCCTGTTATATATCTTGATAAATGCGGAATCAAAATTATGCGATTTAAATCAACTATTAGTAGATAATTAAAGGTGCATTTGCCTTGTTCCCTGTGATTCTACTCTTCTGCAAAATTTTGAATTCTTTGAAACGATTCACAAAGATTCTATTCAGACTACATTTCCAAATAGTATAGGAGATTATAGTAAATGCAGGAACTTAAATAGTATGAAGGTTAAATAGAACTTAAGCCTCCAATTCACTGAGAAGTGGGCGACGGGCGTTTGAAAATAAATTCACTTACAGTTCTTATAGTTCCTCTATAATTATTCAGACATTGGACATAATTAGAGAGTCCCCTTGATACATTCCGACTACTAATTTCGTTTTGGCATTTTGCGTCGAAAACTTTAAAGGGCTGTATCACTTTTCAAATCGCTCCCAATATACATTATCGCCCTGTCTGATATTTAAAGAAAATTAAATTATGAAGAATCTGCATAAATGTATCTACGTTTATCGCAATGTGATAAAACAACGGCACCTAGAGCCATCAAAATTTGAATAACATAATCTTCCGTAGAATATGGGCATGTGGAAGCCCTACTTTGAATTTGAAATTTGTTTTATTATCGATTTCAAATTTTGTAACACTTCAACAAATTTTTGATAAAAAAAAAACTAAACGATTTCAAAGCGAGCAATAGTAACACTGTAAAGAGAGGGGAGGGGGAAAAATTATCTCCAGCGCGCGAGACTTTATATCGGTTGTAAAGGAAATTCTAAAGATATGCGAATTTTAAAATTAATTTGCGATATTGCTGTTGAACTGAATTTAATAGTTTGAGTACGTAGAACAAGGTATTTAATAAATAAAGGTAACACAGAAAATATTACAAAACGCCCATTTGGACGTAATTTAAAATCTGAAACAGATTTTTTCTTTTTCTTTTTAAACATCGGTACCGATAAACTTGTGAAACATATTTTTGAAAGCAGCAAGTTGCAAGACCGAACCAGAAAGCGTAATGCGACGCATTCAGAAGAAAGCTGGAGAGAGAGCGTCAAAATGTTTCAGTTCTCAACAGAAATCTTATTCAGTGACTGGGTAAAAGGTACCTGTATTGCAACGTTAAGTAAGATCGCATGAAGCGGATTAATTTGGAATGACGCAGTTTAGATTGCTATATATATTATAAAAAGCTACTAATTTTAAGAGGGAAAACCTAAATTAAAATGAAAGATAATTACTACTGCCAATTAAAATTTTCAGTTTACGTTATCTTTTTTTTATATATATATATTACTATATATCCCCCAATAGAACTCAGCGATAGAAAGCATCTGAGCAACAAGACAAAACAAATGCAATATGCAAAATATAAATCACAAAATTTTGAACTAAAACATTATGCAGAACATAAATTTTAAGCACTCAATTTCCGAGAACAAATGCAAATTTTAGAATCCTCTTCAAAAAAAGTTCTTGTTTCTCAAAAGCAATTTTTAGAATTCCATTAATTATCAATATTTCAATCCAGAGTTGAAAAAGTCTTTGTTTTTGGAAAATCCACATGATTATTATGAGAATCTGCAGCGAAGGTTCATAAAAATTTTTGCAGAAATCACAAATATAAAAATGTTATACATCTATTACTTATTTTGAATAATCATAACAAATCTTAAAATTTTGGAATATACTATTTTTCCCATTTATAACTTACACTTTAGCATCATAAATATATTCTTCTCACCAAAATTACGGCTTCTAGTCGCTGAATAGAATTTCTATTGAGAAACAAAACGTTTTCACTCTCTCTTCCACACTTTCTTCTGAATGTGTCGCATCTCGCTTTCTTCTTCGCTCTTACGACTTGTCACAGCCAATTGCCTTCAAAAATATATTTCACAAGTTTATCGTTACCCATGTAAAAAAAGTTCTTTACGAACATGGCGCTAAAGCGCCCATTTTATTTGTGTTGGATTAATGAAAAATGTATGTCAACCAATAAAAAGGCATTAGCTGAATTCACCTACGCCTCCAATTTTCTTCTTTTTCATACATCTGCATGCTATGCCATTAACTTTCCACGTTATTACAATGAGTCAGACAGGATCGAGCTTCCATGGAAAATGACTATTCCAGGGTCAAAACTTGGTCAGCGGGATTAAGTTGCAAGTTCAGAAGTTCTAAATTGCTTTTAACTGAAATTCGAAGTTGTTCAAGAGCAATATCATAAAGAAGGGGGAAAAAATTAATACCTTCTTTTGTGGAGTTTAAATTGACAACCTACCGATGTTTGAAAACAAGTGATTCTTTAAGTTGCAGGCCAAATGAAAGTCATCTAGCGTAATACATTACAAAAGTTATTTAAAACGCACAGGCAGATGTTTTACGCCAATTTCCGTTTTCAATACAAAGCAAATTGGGTCATCTATCTTCGTGTTAATCTTTATTTCACCCAGGGTAGATTAAATAAAGAAGTAACAGTAAAGATTTAAATTATAATAACTGGTTAATTAACACAATGGGATGTTACATAGCTACTAATTTTAGGAGAGAATGGGGTAATATCTAAATTAAAATGAAGAATAAAAGGGGATATTGCCAATTAAAATTAGAAATTTCCATTTACTTATTTATTACGCATTCAGGCATTAGGCACTGCACGGAAAGCGAAGGATGCCCCTTGCAGGACTTTTTAAGGTAAACTGACTCGTATCCATGCTACAAATTATAAGTTTTCTTTACATATCTTACATATTTATGTATAATAAAAATTGAAAGTTGAACTGAATGAAGAAATTGAAGAAAACAGTACGCTTTATATGCCGCAATAGAAATAAATTTTAATTTAGATCGAATGTAAATAGTTTAATTACAAGAGATTTTTACATCATTAGAACACATAAATGTGGGTAGACAGTAATATAACAATCAGAATATGAAGAAAATAAGGAAAGCTAGTAAATTGAAAAAGTGAAGAATCAGTAAAAAAACTATAAAAAATCTCACCGACAATAAAAGTTGTCTATAACGCGTTGTCTCATGAGAGGAAGACGTACGGCACAATCAACCTTTAACGTCACTTTTCTGAGTGCACAGCTTGAACTTTATGTTATTGGCAAATTCAGGAAAAAAAAGAAAATTTATCAACTTATAATGTCAACATAAGGCTAACTGCTACATAATTTGCCAAAAAGAGGAAACTTAAGCAGGACGAACAAATGCATATAAAATTTATTCTGATAGTTACTGATGATAGTTATTCTGAGTGACTGTCGACCTACATTTGCATGTCAACATAAAAATTATAAACTGCTTCATTCTTTCAGGTCATTCTAATTTACATTTAAATTCACACATGCACTAATATACGAGGGTAAGTTGAAAAATAAGTTTCCCCTGTCGACTGTGGTCAGAGTTGTGTATGAAAGTCAAAAAATAGAATGAGACATTAAAGATATGACATACCTTTATTTTATTATTCTCGTACAAGTACGTTGAGACATTTGTCATATCGCTTGGATAAGCTTCAAAAAGTCCTCCAAGAAAAATTCACGCTTTGCATATGGAAGAAGCGTTGAACGGCTATGGGCGAAAGGCGACACAGCAGGAAAACGCGCAAGTCACCGATACACCATTGGGTAGAGGTTGCTGCAAATCAAGCAGATGGCGCTGTTGCAGTGCCTGCGCAAAGCGGAGACCAGCCTCTCATTTGAGCCCCGGTAGGTATGGAGAGAAGGTGCGTTTTGAATTCGTGGTCAAAGGAGGAAGTGAGAGCGGTTATCCGCTATGAATGGGCACGTGGAGTATCAGGAACAGAAATTCATAACCGCCTCGTGGAAGTCTATGGGCCAGGTGTGATGTCGAAGCAAATGGTGCGGAGATGGTGTCGCACATTCAGTGATGGACGTCAGCAAGTGGAGGAGGACATACCGAGAGCTGGACGGACGCGCATGGCCACTATAGATGCAAATGTCAGGAAGGTGGATGACATGATTAGAGCGAACCGGCGTACCACCATCGATGAAGTAGCGGAAGAACTTGGAATCTCACATGAGCGAGCTCAAAAACATCATCCACGACATTCTTCGATACAGAAAAGTGTCAGCACGATGGGTGCCCCGACAATTGACCTCGACACACAAGGAACAACGCTTGGGGGTCAGCCTGGAACATCTCGTGCATTACCATGAA